ATGTAAATGGAATTGTCACAAATGGCTTTGACAACATGGCTGCCTCCGAATTTCATGGCTACGACTAGCTTATTGTAATGCCTATGGAATCGGCCGAATCCATTCTCCATAGATGTACACGTTTATCTGCCATAGCCAATCATAGCCTCCTTTGATTAATACATGCGTCATAAGCACAATAATAAGACTGCGCGTAGAAATCATTTTTGGTCCAGATGTGGGAGTCTTATATCAGTTTCTCATAACAACAGTGTTCTATCACGGTACGCCCTCCACTTACAACTTTGACCACGCCCATAAACTGCATATGCCCATATATGGTTCAGAAAACTTAGTTAGTTTGCAGGTCAGGGCAAGCGTTGTCTTTTCCTTGACTGTGTGCAGTCTCTCATGAGACTGGGAACGATACTGGCAGGTACTGTATGTCGCCCGCGCTCGGCGATGTTGCAAATCATTTATTTTCCCGGCAATGAGGCATTTCTTATCTCCACTGGCACAATTCCACCCCCTTTAGGCTGTTAAAACAAATGAAAACCTGAAATTTTAATGGACTTCTAAGTGGATATTTTTCCCCTCTTTTGTTGAGGCCGACCGGGGCAATCTGCGGCCGAATTGCGCGTGGCGGTGGGAAAACTGGAGGCCGCTGGATTGATTTTAGACGGCTGTTCACGGCAATTACGTTTGCAATCGAAGTAACCCAGAAAATATACAGTGAACTTCCGACGACTGTTTAGTTAGAAAGTGGGTTTGCTTATAAAGCCCCGCAAGAAATAAGGTTGTCAGGTTGGCGCAGTGGTTACTGTCCTCGCCTACCACCACTATGGCCCGGGTTCGATTCCTCCCCTGGCCCACATGTGGATTGACTTTGCAATCCCTACCTGATTCCGTGGGTTTGCCCACTATTCTTCCGCGGGGTTTTCCTCCCACCTCGAAAACTGTAATGTCGCCTCATTGTCTTCTCTCTACAGGTGTCCTCAGGCTTGCCAGCTACAGCGCCGAGGGCGCTTTTGAGGAATCCTTGGTTTCATTGCGGAAATAAAATACCAGAATTGAAAGTACATCGGTCGTTTCCAAGATGAATAAATACATTTTCACATTTTGTATACGTATGGTTACATGAGCTCACATTTTGGAACTCTATTCTGATCAAACTCTCGTAGATGTCATTTTGTATTTCAAGCCGTAACTGTCAAAGCTTTTGCATGTTTCATCAATAATTGCCGTAATTTCTTGGCACGAGAAATGCATTTTGTTCAAACAAGACAAGGCGAGCAAGAGAGAGGTAATTTACAAAAGGATCTTACATTCCTACCTAAAAAAAAAACCACGAAATTTCCATGAAAACTACAAAAACGTTACAAGTTAGACTAAAAACAATAAAAACTCGCGCGAGCTTTGTGCCACCGCAGAAAATCATAATGCATCAGTTTACACAACTGGTTGGGTTTAGTCCATTCATCGGCGTTACGGGGTAATCCAATTTCGAACTTTGTGGTCTAGGTGAGACTTAAGCAAGTCTAACTCACAAGTGACAGTCAGTCAGTGAGTCAGCCAGCCAGTCAGTGATACGACTGTAGGAAAATTGTATCATGGAATTTAATCAAACCTTCTGTTAAGGAACGGAGATCGAGTTTCTTCCAAGACATTAAGCCTACTGTTAATATGCGCGTTCCGTGGAAATATGCGCAGATAGTCTTGGCCGCTAACGCCCTTGGGGGCGTTTACGCCCGCCAATAAGCCCACATTTCCGTACCTAACGGCCGTTCCAACAAACCAATAACGAAGATTATTGCCAGCACGACCGCCACGAGGTTTCAGTCTGGTATACAAACGACCCACATATTCAGTATGGGTTCACATTCATTTTGATTGCGCCTGCATGCATGGTGCGTTCGTGCGCATTACCTTAGATGGAAAATTACATTTGCAATTTCGGACAACATTAACTTCCAAATGTCGTCTTCGCTGCGAGTTTGCGAAAATATTTCGTGTATACCCAGAGAGATTCTTGAAACACTTTCTGTTGGTAGACTTGTGTTGTAAAAAAAAATATGGCACTTACGAAATTGAAAAGTAAAATCCGTTATATCGATATTGATTTTGTTTTTCGATTTAAGGTTGTAACTAGATTTTAAGCTGCAAAGCAAGTACCGTGCCTTAAACGACCAGAAAAAATAACTCTGCAAACTTCTAACGTATTAAAGAAAAATGGGTGTTAAACAATTTGCTAACATTTTTACTTCATTTAACATACGCTCAATAAACAACTCAACTTTGCCAGTAGAACCTGTAATTTATTCTCACAGATCCTCTACATTTTTATTGCGATTCTTAGCTTTCCCCGGCCCTAACCTGGAGTTTTCTCTGAACATTTCTTTCCAGTCTGATACTCAATTGATAGTCATCTTGCCGATGAATGATATTTGTCAATTGTGAAGTCGCCTGCCCCCTGGCGACAAGCCGACTCGTCTTGTCTTCATCAGCGAAAGAATTCTTGTTTTTTTTAGAAAAACTGATCAATTTAAGTAAGCTCCAACTGTTCCCTTCCTCAGAGGACCGATAGAAGAAACCCGCTGAATAAATGAATCACGATTCCTTGTTTGTGAGTTAATGCGTGGGCCGAAATTCCGCAGAATTGGTATACTTCAGAGACCAAAATGTGAAGATTCATATCATAACTGCTCGTGTGATTGACTTTATAAAAAGGAGACAGGCATACGTGACATTTTCCCCGTTTGAACACGGCAGGGTACTCTCAGGTATTAATCCAAGTGTGTCCATTTTTAGCTTCGTAAACAACTTTTGCCAAATATTTTCTTTTCAGGCCTGTGGAAAAGCTGTCGCGCAAGAATGGGAAATTCGCTTTATCTACCTGTGAATAAAATAGAGTCTCTATTTAAAGAATGAAGCCAGGCATTCGTAACATGACTGGATGTTGACAATGAGGTTTGAAACATAATGGTGAACATTTTTTTCCAGTGGAGAAATGGTTGTTTAACGAGCAAAATAAAACTTTGTCTAGCTTTAAACAATGTTTTTATTTTTATGCCAAACATTCTTTTTGTGCAGATGGAAATGTTATTTTATAAGATGGGGATGCATGAATCTTATCATATAATGTGCCACTTTTTAAACTTATAAGTGGAACACAAGTTGGTCTTATACGTGAGTAAAAAACGTCCTCATGAGCACGTCGTATTTGTTTCTCGGGGAACATAATAACAGTCAGGACTGAGTAAGAGATAGTTGTTTACAGCCAATTCATCTAGCGGAATCAAATTTATAATACATACACGACAATTGATATTTTTATTTCTTTTTATTCTCTGGGAATTTTGCGATCAACACCTCCAAAGAATCCAGGGACCTATGGGAAAAAAACCAGACTTATCACCAGTGGATATGTTGTAGTTAATGTGAGTGCAAACTACAAACTTAAAACATTCCTCTTGAAGCAGTTAGTCACACACGCTGGGACAGAGAATATCCGAAACCGCAGGGGCCAATCACAAAAGAAGAACACTGATGTTGTCTTACTGAGTGGAAAGATGCAAGAATTTGTTTCGTTGGAGTGGCTTTTTGTTTATATTGAAATATATGACCCTCCTCATCCCGGGATGTGGACGGACTTTAAAAGCACAGTTTGAGGGTATCGGTGTCGATCCTTTCAGTCGGGTAATTGCATTGTTATCTCGGATGAGATAGTTTACCATCCATCCCCGCTTTTCAAACTAAACAAAAGCAGTTCATTTTTGGTGATCCGAATTGGGAAGCTCTTCCTCGGGCAATCTCGTGGATTCTCGGGTTACTCCTCTTCATTTCCGCCCTCTGAGCCCCTCTGATCTTTCTAGGCCAGCTCATCTGTTCTCCTCGCGTGCGTTGCATCACTCGATCGTACCACATAGGGACAAACTCGCGCCGATAGCAGCACGCGTTGATGAAGGAGACACCAAGCTAGGAAGTCCCCTTGGGCGGCCACCGTATAACACCGATTACGGAAAGAGAAAAGAAGCGGCCGCTAAAACTTCACTTCTATACCGGGATATCAAGCTCGACTCCCCTTGCGGTCAGTGCCCACATCGGTTCTCTGACGCAATCATCCGCAGCCGATATCTGATTAAAAAAAGAGCCCAGGCTGACGGCCGCAAATTAACCCGAATATAGTGATGTCAGGAGGAAAGGCAGAGGCAACTAGGGACGTAGAAAATTGGGCCCGGCTGATTCCTCAGAGTCCGGAGGTGGCCAGAAATTGTGAAAATTGAAACTGTTTGACGGAAATTATTTAATTAGAGGCATAAATGGTAAGACGATGCCGAAACGATTGCCTTACCATAACAGACGGGAGTTGAGGCTAGCCATATGGAATCGCCGCCGGCAAGATAACTCGGAGGGCCATGCATAGACGTGTGTCCCCCCCCCCCCTCCCCGTTCTTCAAACATAACCGTTCATATCAAAATGTTTATTCCTGTTCAAGTAATTGTCAATTTTGTAATTGTAAATTTTAAGGCCTCCGGCCTGTTAGAATATTGTTGAACATGTTTGTGCTACCTCGCATAAAACTACACGGGTTTTTTTCGAAATGGTTTTATGTTCAAGCCTACCAATTTCTCATTATATATACATATTTGATCTTTTTTTAAATTCCGAATTGGGATTGGTATGGAAACGTTAAGAACGTGCAAACTTTGTCAACCTTTCTTAAACGAGATTTCAAGTTATACCGCATTTGCATCACTGCAGTCATCGATGACCAAATATCATCGAATCCAAAACTAAATCATTTTAAACTTTTTTCTCAAGTTAAATAAACACAGTTTTTTCATGGATTCGATTTGAGTCTGATTGGTAATCCGAGTCAGCCACCAGTCAAAAAATTGACTCGGATCTGAGTCTGGACTCGAGTCCTCCATCACACTGGCACCTTACTCATGGTCTGGACTTTTTCTTGACACGTACGATTTCAGTTTATTTCTCATCTTGTTTTTCTTTTGCCATTCAGGAAGTCCAAGATGCAATCGAAGTTTTGACAAGATTCTGTGTTGGTTGGAAGCTCCAGTCAACACTACTGTCAGGCAGCCATGCCCGTCCATAGGCCTAACCGCTCCCCCGCCAGAACCAGGTATATTTGGTATCACGGTGCTTGTTTCATAACAAACTAACGGACTGTATTACTTAATTATATTTTAATTGACAGATCATTTTTACCTCAATTAATTATAATGACCTGTGTAAGCATTACCGGTAGTTTGCAAGAAATATGATGCGAGGAATGCCAAACGAGGGGTCGGTCATTTTACTAGACAAAATTCAGGGGGAATCATTTTGGAATGATGTTGGCTTGATATGTGCCACTTATCCCTACGACTTTAACTCATCAAAAAAAGCACGATTGGACAACATGCAGATTTCAATCCCCTCGGTGTATTTCCCACTTCTCATCATATTAGGGTATATGTGAATAGGTATAGTTGAATGCTGTGTTGTGTCAAGACAAAGGGTATGTAATAGTTTTATCATTTTTCGCAAACATAAAGTTTGTCAAGAAACTGTTCTCGATGTAAATGAACTCTTCACTTTTCAATGTTGGTCTTGTGACGCTGTTACAAGCTTTTTAAATCTAAGAAAGACGGATCCAAAAAAAAAAATCACGAGGCGACTTTAATAGTGTTCCCGGAAGGTTTGTTCTGAGTGATTTTAATCAATAATGACGGTGGAAAATGTAGTTCGGTGCGCAGTGAAGCTCGGCATCCGACACGCGTGCACATTAAAGATTCAAGAAACGTCTGAATGTTTGGATTTCTGCTTTTTGTCCTATGTTCAAGTGTTTGCTTACAAGTTCTGCTTTGAGAACGGCGTGTACGATGAGTGGACCAACTACTCCATGTGCCACTTTAGTCTGCCACCCCCGGGACACAAGGTCAGTGTTTTCATGGATGGACCCAAGACTCAGTCTCGTTCCCAGAATGTCTAACAGTACGCTGCCACCACTACCTGCTCTCTCACCCTGGTAACGGGATCATTTGCATATCCAACATTCCTGGATACGTATGCAAATGAGGAATAATCTGGTGCCTGCCTGTGCTTTCATCTTTGTTTTTTTTTTATGTGGTGACTGGGATAAAAACAGAATCACTCCCACGACTGAAACTAGGAACCAGACGTTTTAGAGTGAAATTCATTCAATCGAAACGATAGAGTTTCACTCGAGTTTTTACTGGATTGGTTATTTTCCCAGAGTTTTTCAATCTAAAATGAGAGTGATCCTCACCCTAAATCATCTAGTCCCAAGTTTTGCTCTTTGGTAATTAGACAAGTACGAAGGTTCCTTTCTGTTCTTCTGTAATGTTTCACTTCGTGCATTGCCTGCTTTTTGTTTTTGTGATGGATTAAAATGGCCTTATCATTGAAGTATAGCACGCGTGAGAAATGGTACAGATTGCATGTTATCTGTATGTAAAAAGCCCACTTTGTTTTTTAAAATCAATTGATTTTGGGGGGTTAAGTTGGACGATAGTGTAAAACTAGCCTTTAAACAATGACTCCAGAATAAGCTACTTCCTTTCAATGCGAGAAGGATGCATTGCCTCCTCGTTCCCGTGTAGAAGAAACTGTCAATAATCTAATCTTTTATATGTTACTACCTAATTTCTTTTAAATGTCTTCTTTATTTTGCTGCATTCAGGATCTGCGGGTTCTCCAGATTGTCTACAGCATTGGATACTCGCTGTCCTTGGTCGCACTGGCCGTTGCTATGGGGATATTCCTTTATTTCAAGTAAGTAGTCCCACCAAACAGAACACCTAATGGCAACACATCCCCGAATGCAATTTCATAAATTTTACTACTATTTCAAAAATTGCATATGTTCTTACGATCACACAGCGATCATACAATGCATTCAGATGAAATACCGTATAAGGGCTTCACAATCCTGAGAAAATAGGCGCGAGGCTCGAACAGAGCGCCACCAAGAGCCAAATAAAGGTAATTCTCCCCCTGTCAATATGAGAAAAAGTTGACACTCTGTACCGCAAATCATTAGTGTCAAAACATAACCCTTTAAAAACCTCTCTCGTTAACAGAAAACTACGGTGTCCTCGAAATACCATCCACATGCATCTGTTCATGTCGTTCATCGTGAGGGCGGTATTCGTCTTCGTGCGTGACATCATTCAGACCGTCAGCCTAAACATTGATGAGGAGACTTTCAGTAAAACCAGCACATTACATGTAGGTAGTCTTAGAATTATTGTTCTCCGTGCGCGAATATGAGAGGGCGCTTTGTGACTACTTTCGAGAGGCCCGTGGACGTGACACAGCGCGTGCGCGTACTGGTTTGCGCGCGTATATAGCGCGAAGTACGCACCACGTATTTTAATCTCAATGTGCTCAAAGCGCCCTCATGGGCGTAGTTGCGTTGTACAACAAACTGCTCAGTTAATCTTGTATGGTGGTGCAGTAGGTATACCACACGATGTGTACACCACAGTTCTGCAATGTATGGCCCGAAAATGATGTCACTTGGGCCTACATTATACGGCAATAAAGATGAAAACCTTGTTGAAATAGACTGTTAGATAGTAGGCCTATCCGGTCAAAATGACTCGTTACTTTACAGGGTTTTTTTACATTACAGGGCATATCCTGCCATCAAGCATTGACGATAGCCGTCAGCATCTGCCAGTACGCCCTGGTGTCCAACTATTACTGGCTGCTCGTTGAGGGCGTCTATCTCCACGCTCTGATCACACTGGCTGTATTCTCAGAATCGTCGTCACTCAAGCTGTACATTGCTCTGGGATGGGGTAGGTCAAAGGTCACACAAATGCCTGTTTCTTTGCGCTCCATGTTCTATTCTTCGTATCGCTACCGATTGGTCGAGGTTTAAACGCGGAGCGCACGACTATTTGAAAATGTACATGAATATTTTATTAAAGTTTAACCGGCCGCGTCGAAGTGATTAGGACTACGAAGTGTTGGAAGTTCCATGACTCCATGAAATTCTGAGGAAGTGATGGAAATAACTGATCACTTATGCTTTATTATTTGCAGGAGTTCCCATTTTATTCGTTCTTCCGTGGGTCATAGTACAAGAATATACCAATCCTGGCGGGTAAGTTAAGATCCAGATTTTCCTTGGTGCACGAAAGAAACAACCATAGACGTAACTGATAGTCCAACAAGAATAACGTTTTTTACATATTGACGTAATGTTAACTCTTCAGGTGTTGGCTGGCGTCCATGACACAGAAGGACATCTACTGGATCATCAAAGCTCCCGTGATGTGCTCCGTAGTGGTGAGTTGGAATACCTCCGCATTATATCTATACTGTGGAATGAAACTCGGCGGATTGTTTGAATAATACCAAGCAAGTACATCGTAAATCCTTCCTTAGCTTCCTTCATTTTGTTTTGGTTCGGTTTGGTTTGGTTTATTACCCAACATGACAGATATAAAGAAATAACATACACAACTAGAAAGCACGCAGAGAGCGCAAACCTCCGCCAAGGCTTAACAATTCCCCGCCATATTGTCAGTACACCCAAAAGAAATACTCGCATATATGGTGAAGAATCCTTAAAAAAAATCCTGGATCCTGACCAGATCCGGATCACTTGCAAAATCTAATCAATTTGTACTTGTACCAAGGACCGCCCCTAAAGACATTTTTATGCAAATCTGTTCTAAGTTTTTGAGATATCTTGTTAATAGACAAACCAACCAACCAACAAACTAACCAAATCCGATGAAAACATAACTCGGTGGAGGAAATAAAACTCATAATATTTAACATAAACATTATCTGCATAACAATGGGTGAAAAGACCAAACAAATATACGCGCTAATCAATCAAACCCTCGATACACTGCCAGAAGTGCTGTCATCGTCACAATTGATTTTTTTTATCTACAGCTCAACTTCATCCTTTTCCTAAACATCTTGCGCGTGTTGGCGACCAAGCTGAGCGCCACCAACGCCGCTGAAGCCAGAAGGTATAGGTAAGATGGCATGGCCGAGGGCTGCTTCGCTTCCTCCATTAGACCCTTGCATCCGTAGGACGACACTCCCACGTCTTTCCCCTCACCAGCTATAGAAAGAAAAAGAAAAAGCTTAGAAAGAAAAAGAAAACATTGAGCGAAGTAGTCAAGTCCTCCCAAATCAATCACAAGTCACGCAGTCTCATAATTTTTACGAGCTTATCGATTGAAATATGACAACTTTGCCAAAGTTCCAATTTCTCACCTGTGACTTGTTTGAGTTAGGCCGGACTTGACTACAACTTTGAATGCAAGAAATACGCAGTGTAGTGCCGCCAAAACATTCACGATAACACCCAACGCCCTTCTCTAGAATAAGTAATAAGATTTCACAGTCCATAATGTGTAAGCGAAGCACATGAAGGTCTCCTATCGTTTCAGGAATTTTTATACTGGAGGAACTGACCCTAATTTTAGCAACATTTAGATAAACACCAATGGCACGTTTTATCTGTTAAGTTTTTGGGGACCCAATTACTGACTCCCGTCAACACTAAGCCTTATCACAAGAAGCCCAATCGTACAAACTTGAGAAATTGGTGCCTTGTTTGTGATTTTCACTGCCAATTAAAAGAAGAGATTTGTTGAAGACTACATTGTTGATAAAGGCACCAAGATCTACAGCCACCATAACATAGCAATACATCGTATCTGATGAAGACACCATGTGGAATCCATAAGTAAACCACGCGTTCCATTTTAGAAACCGTGGAAAAAAACGCAAGTGGCGCATTCGGTTCAGGTTTGAGCTTTAGCTGTGTAAAATGATCGTGTGTTCTCTTAATTAGCTTCAGCGTGCATATCCCTGTATCAGGGAGGAGCGATCGACACTGGTGCTGGTAAATATTGCTCAAAGCTGAAGAGACACAATTAATTACACTTGATGATAAACACGTGGTGGCGGTGATGGGGCTCGTAGACACATGGCAATACTAGTTGGTGGTATATTGTTTCAGAAAGCACATTTTAGTCTGGATTAATTTGGTAACTTGCATTCGCGTGATCTGCAAACATGTCGTGCATGGGGCTAGATTTTAATGAACTGCATGGCAAATGCATATATCATAAAAAGGAATCATGTCATAAGAGTATTTGGCGGTAAGTGTAAGAATTTACTAGCCTCTATACTACTTTAGCTACAACCTTACACCATACCCGTCAAGCTCAGACGCACCGAACCCACGAAGATTCTTTTATGGTACGCACCACTTTATATCGCTAATACAACCTGCTTCTTGGTCAGATTTTATCGGTGTAACCAAACGATGGTTACACCATCGTGGTAAAAACCCTGAATTTTGAGAAGTCGTCGCCCAACTAAAGTCAAACATTTGTCTGAAAAAGTGCAGCATTTGTACATTCTGATGTTCCATTTTGCGACAAAAAATATAATACTTGAATTGGAAAGGAACGCCGTTACCCCCATCACTTCAATACCTTACAAGCATGACCCAGCATGGTGGTAGATTAATTGCACTTAACAAAAAGAAAAACCACACATTCACAACTATATCCCATCGTTACCTCATGGTACATTTGCATATAAATTACTTTGCTCTTTGACCTTTTCGTTTCTAGCATTTCAATTCTCCTGCAAAAACAAAACGGGCCATTAAAAAATACGTCCGATCGGAGGGCCTCCTGGCCTGGCGCGTTTGCCGAAATGACCCCATTTTGATAACTAGTTGCTAAATTTATTTGATGATTGTCCAAGTCAATAATTGATAATGGCCGTTACATGGCTGTACTGTCATTTTGTTCGAAGAATATAAACACTTTTTTACTTTTTACTTTTTGAGAGCAAAATGGTCAAAGGGCATAGCCCATAATGGTAGCAAGCGGGACAAGCTTTCTAATACACCCACCCATATACCATGCCTGCACGTCCACAGCGTATGAGCTCAGAAATGCTTAAACGGCCATGCCCTTTTTTATATTTCTCAATTCAATGAATGTGCCTCCTCTGCTGTTTGTGTCCATTCTAACACCTTCAGCAACATTCCCGAGATGTAATGTTTTCCTTGTTAACACTTGTCCTTTTAACCCCTACCCTTGTTATCTCTGAAGGGTTACATTATTACATGAAATCAATGGATATTTAACATCCTTGAAAGTTCGTCCTATGTGAATCACTCAGTAGTTAATTTATAAATGTCAAGATGTTGATGCGCTTTTGCTCATTAAGACACGAATAAGGGACTTAGGAGATTGGTGAAGTTCACAGCTTCACTTTTAAGCACCGGATAAGCCCAGGGGTGTGCACTCACACTATCATGGAAGGGTGACGGGATCTTTGGCTGACCTGGTTAACTGATTGGTTGACTGGCTGGCTGGCGAACTGGTTGATTGGCTAGTTAGCTGATTGGCTGTTTATTGGTTGGTTTGACTGGATGATTGGTCAACTGGTTTACTAGTTTGCCAGTTAGCCCACACTTCGAAGAGAGAACCACAATTTGTTGAAACTTATGAGGACAGTAATGACATCTCGCAAGCAACTTTGGGCCAAGTAAGGTTCCAACGAAAATGTGCCTCTACTTATCAGTTCCACCTAGTTACGATTTCAATTCCAAACTTGCATTAACCTCCGCTTTGCCACTTTCAGCAAGCTTGCCAAGTCGACGCTGGTCTTGATCCCACTGTTTGGTGTGTATTACATCGTCACCATTGGCATGTACGCCACCGACGATCCCATAGTAGTCAAGATGCGCATGTACATAGAGCTGGGCATGTCTTGTCAGGTGAGTTTATCATGACTAAGTCTCTGTCCTTGGTTCAAGTCGCTAGTGATCGCTATCGGATCTACCGACATCATCTGTACTGAAGTGCGCCCTCATCGGAGAGAGAATAAATAGGATGGTCAAAACCAACACTGTGAGGGCGCACCACCATGCAAACGGCTTTGCAGCGGTCTATTTTCAATCACTAACGTCTTGGACTAAAATTACACGCAAATTGACCAAGGAAAGCCTAGTGGCAAATTGCAGGTTATCGAGACAAACTTTCGTGAAGTAACTTACTCGTCGCTTGTTTCAGATGATAAACTTTAAACTTTGACATGTATTTTCCTCATGACAGCTTCTTGTTCATTGAGTCTTGGTTTCCAACATTTGCTTCTTAAGGTTCCTTTTTAACCAACACTCTTCAGATATTCTCGGTTAATTATTGACTTCTTTTTAGGGATTCTTGGTGGCAGTGTTGTACTGCTTCATGAACGGTGAGGTCAGAGCGGAGATCAGACGCAAGTGGCGGGTCCGTCAGCTCAATCGGACACTGAGCACTCACCGGTCGTTACGTAACGGTCAATCCAGGTCATCCTTCTCCACTCCATCTCGCCAGGACTCGCTCAAGGAGCCCCTGAAAGACGCCACCGCGGCCGACAAGAACTCAATCAAGGCCAAGTTGAGAGCGCTGAAGCGCCACGCCTTCGGGCCCTACCACAACCTGAACGGGCACCTGGGGAACGGGAACATGGCACGGCCCAGCCAGACGGCGGTGAGTGAGATCGACAACGACAGTGACTCAGCAGAGCGGGCCAGGGCGTCGTCGGAGATCCGCCCAGTCAGGCACGCTGTGGACATCGACCAAGCCGAGCCCAACGAGAAGACGTCAATGAGCGCCAAACCGCCTTACTACAACCTCCCCGAGAACACGCCCACCGTCATCATCGATGAGGCCAGGGATTCCGATGATGATGACGATTGTGGTGGGTACGAGGTAGATATGTACGACCCGCACGATGTCGGCAGTCACGAGGTCGAGGTTGAGATCGATCACGAGGCCATCGGAAGCTGCTCAGCAGGGACGTGTATGGACGGAGGCTGTGAACGAGGACGCGCTTATCCAAACATTGAAACGGAAGTGTGATTTCCCAAATTATGGTACGGTACCTTGACTTCTCGTAACTTCTCAAATCTTGGCCTCGTCTCCGGCTATTTGAGGCCCCGACGTAAAGTCACCTGGGTTCAAGATAGGTCCAAGACCTGGAAGGATCCCTTCGTAATGACACCCGCTTTCAATTTGTCAGCTATTGGAAGCTTCTGGGTATGGAGTACCGAAGTGTGACGTCATTTAGAACCAGAAAATGTAGTGCAAACGAATGGAATACGAGCGCGTTTTGGTTCACAGGCTGAATCACGCGCTTAATGTCTTTTACACACATTTTGTGCGCGTGACGTATTCACTTCGGTACTCCATTGCTGTAACGAACCATGGTCTATCAAAGAGCTTTTCTGCTCAAAACAGTAGTAGGAGCGATTCCTTAGAGTTATATTAATTTCATAAAATAGGGCAAGTTCGAGCAAGGCCAGTGGTAAACTAGTGGTTGGTTCGTGACGTACCGATGGCGCATGCGCACTGAAGTTGAAGTGCGAACGACTCTAGTCGAAATTTTGTCACGTCAACGACCGTCAAAAAATGGTAGTCGCACAATTATTCAACACTTGTTGTTTCTCTTTATTTACACAAATAATAGCGATTGTGGATAGTTTAGGACATCTTTCATAATCGCCAATATTAGTATACAATGGTGACAAAAGTGACAACTGAGCAATGAAAATGAAATTAAGCGCTTACAGTTTCGTTTTCCGTCACGAATCAACTACTAGTCGACTAGTGGTCATTTCCCGAATTTGCGGCGCATTATGTTGTGAATCACTTCTCTATAATTATACGAGATAATTAATCTAATCGCCACTATAGCTACTTTACGGACCACTTGATGTCGGCTTATCTACGAAGGCAAATGATAGTGTGATGTAAGAGGTAGGCGGTAAATTACTTGATCTTTTGTATACCTGTTAAACTTTTGTAACAAAATATGAGAAACGTGAGGGCGCAAAAATCGTCTAAAATTGGGGACTTTTCAGTCTCAGAATTTTCGATTCTTGGGGAAATGAAATTTTTAAGCATACCATTTAAACTCCATATCTGTGTTCCCATATATAAACTCCAAACAAAATAGATTGTGTAAAAAAAGAGAAGCATATTCTTTTATGTTTTATATGTAAGAACAATGTTAGAGGAAAATATTTTAAAACGGGAAATTCAGACGAGGGGGCGGTAGCCTATGGATGCATCTGCTCAGAATTGTGCGTTCAATTCAAACTTGACAATTTGGTCAACTGTTATATAACGTGCGCTAACACCTGTCCAGAATGTATAGGCAGATATCGCCCGTTGTTGTTTGTGCTGTATGTGAAATATAAAACTGAAGATTTTCAATATGAATTGAATTTATAAAATTATTGGTTAGGCCCTATGTTAACTTTGTGTCATAGCTTTCGTATATTGAAGGTTGGAAAATTCCTTGTCCTCTTTACAGCAAAAACATTCTAGTCAGTGGATCCAGAATGGGATTCATTGAAAGTATTTTCATGCGTCTGGTGTCCACATCGGGTTGTTTTTTGTCCGTTACGAGGTGTACCTATACAACGGCACTGCTCGGGTCACAGGTGCAGTCACGGAGACGATGAGTGTGTATACTATAATGAACACTTTACAGGGTCCTCTTGGACACGTTTTTTGTTGTATAATTGGTATTGGAGTGTGTATAGCCTGTTGAAAACAAACAAGTTACATTCATTTCTAGGAAATTATTTTGTTATCATCTATGTTTTCTAATGTTGTTTGGAAGTTTTTTCCCCGACTGAAATCGTCTGAAGTCGTTATTGTTTTGAATACGCCGATTGGGCGATTCGCTGTTCAGAAAATCGCCAATTAAATATATGTATTATGTATGTAATGTCATTTTCCACCATACCTTATGCGACGAGAGTAAAGGTTTTGGGTTAAGTTGCAATACTTTGTTAATGTCTGTAGACTGTGAAAATTTAGTTTAAAATATTTATAAACAGTTTTGCCGAGAATACATGTGACTTCCTGAATACACAGTCAACAACTTAAAAAAAAAAACCCATTTAAACTTATTTGTTTCTTTATTTGTTGTACAACTTTTTTTTTCTTTAATCTTGTGAGGTACAATTGGTGTTTTTATATAGATTAATGTAAACATGTATATTCTGTTTGAGCGGCATACGTCCGATGCCAAATATTGTACAGTAAAGAATGAATGGAAAAACTCTATATCCGTATCTTGCCTTTGTATAAAATTATATGTAGAGATACTATAAAAACATAATAACCAACACTTGAAATTGTCCTGTAATATAAGTGTTTCTTTGTAAATAATTCACTAAAACGGATGACTTGGACGATTTTCTGTAAAAAGGGACAATGCGGGGTTTCTATTGTAGAATGTTTAGTATATAATAACAACCTTAACCACCCGAAGCATGCATCCCGAATATTTCAAACCGCATGTTATACAATTTGAAAAATGATTTATTACACGTTTAATTGACGATAACAAATAAATGAAGTAATATTGGAATACACAATTCCGTTGAGATTGCACCGTTTTCAGCTTGTTGAATTTAGAATACATTTTAACCGTGGAGGTTTATGGTCACATTGTATTCTATGTCACTTTTTGTAGAAAAAGTCAGAACTGGATTTTGTGTCACCCTCAACTCGAATATTTGTTTATTTATAGTTTTAAATTGTTTTCGGAAGAAATCAGTCTAAAATGTTAATTTACCGCCCCCCCCCCCCAAAAAAAATGACTGTTTTTGCCTAGTCTTCCGACTTTTAGGTGTTTGAATATTGATTGATGCAGTCGGAACTTTTGCGTTGGAGAAAAGGCAATTTTTGGCCAAATTTGGTAAAAAAATGCTTAGGCTAACCCCTTGTCTTTTTTTCAATTTTTGCCACAAAATGAAATTCCTTGAAACTTGCTGGAAAGATGCCTAAGGTAACCCTGAACACATTCCAATTCGATTTGGTAACAGATGTGCCTTTGAAAAAGGAAAAATTGGCCAGCAATTGGCGTAAAAATAGTCAAAATTATTATTTATTTACTTTTATTTCCTTGCAAAAAAAGGATGATTTTTACCCAAATCTGCCAAAATGTGGGTGTTTGACTATTGATCCATGCTCCACACGTCTCCTGAGGAATTTCTGCGTTGTTTGGAGAAAAGTCAATTTTTGGCCAAATTTGGTGAAAAATGTAAGGCACCCCTTGTCTTTTTTTCAATTTTGGCCAAAAAATGAAATTCCTTGAAACTTGCTGGAAAGATGCCTAAGGTAACCCTGAACACATATCAATTCCATTTGGGAACAGATATGCCTTTGAAAAAGAAAAATTGGCCGGAAATTGAGGAAAAAAAACTCTAAATTATTATTTATTTACTTTTATTTCCTTGCAAAAAAAGGATGCTTTCTACCCAAATCTGCCAAAATGTGGGTGTTTGACTATTGATCCATGCTCCACACGTCTCCTGAGGAATTTCTGCGTTGTTTGGAGAAAAGTAAATTTTTGGCCAAATTTGGTAAAAAATGTAAGGCTAACCCCTTGTATTTTTTTCAATTTTGGCCAAAAAATGAAATTCCTTGAAACTTGCTGGAAAGATGCCTAAGGTAACCCTGAACACATTCCAATTCGATTTGGGAACAGATATGCCTTTGAAAAAGAAAAATTGGCCGGAAATTGGGGTAAAAACACTCAAAATTATTATTTATTTACTTTTATCTCCTTGCAAAAAAAGGATGATTTTTACCCAAATCTGCCAAAATGTGGGTGTTTGACTATTGATCCATGCTCCACACGTCTCCTGAGGAATTTCTGCGTTGTTTGGAGAAAAGTCAATTTTTGGCCAAATTTGGTGAAAAATGTAAGGCACCCCTTGTCTTTTTTTCAATTTTGGCCAAAAAATGAAATTCCTTGAAACTTGCTGGAAAGATGCCTAAGGTAACCCTGAACACATATCAATTCCATTTGGGAACAGATATGCCTTTGAAAAAGAAAAATTGGCCGGAAATTGAGGTAAAAACACTCAAAATTATTATTTATTTACTTTTATTTCCTTGCAAAAAAAGGATGCTTTCTACCCAAATCTGCCAAAATGTTGGTGTTTGACTATTGATCCATGCTCCACACGTCTCCTGAGGAATTTCTGCGTTGTTTGGAGAAAAGTCAATTTTTGGCCAAATTTGGTGAAAAATGTAAGGCTAACCCCTTGTATTTTTTTCAATTTTGGCCAAAAAATGAAATTCCTTGAAACTTGCTGGAAAGATGCCTAAGGTAACCCTGAACACATTCCAATTCCATTTGGGAACAGATATGCCTTTGAAAAAGAAAAATTGGCCAGAAATTGCGGTAAAAACACTCAAAATTATTATTTATTTACTTTTATTTCCTTGCAAAAAAAGGATGATTTTTACCCAAATCTGCCAAAATGTGGGTGTTTGACTATTGATCCATGCTCCACACGTCTCCTGAGGAATTTCTGCGTTGTTTGGAGAAAAGTCAATTTTTGGCCAAATTTGGTGAAAAATGTAAGGCTAACCCCTTGTCTTTTTTTCAATTTTGGCCAAAAAATGAAATTCCTTGAAACTTGCTGGAAAGATGCCTAAGGTAACCCTGAACACATTCCAATTCCATTTGGGAACAGATATGCCTTTGAAAAAGAAAAATTGGCCAGAAATTGGGGTAAAAACACTCAAAATTATTATTTATTTACTTTTATTTCCTTGCAAAAAAAGGATGATTTTTACCCAAATCTGCCAAAATGTGGGTGTTTGACTATTGATCCATGCTCCACACGTCTCCTGAGGAATTTCTGCGTTGTTTGGAGAAAAGTCAATTTTTGGCCAAATTTGGTGAAAAATGTAAGGCTAACCCCTTGTATTTTTTTCAATTTTGGCCAAAAAATGAAATTCCTTGAAACTTGCTGGAAAGATGCCTAAGGTAACCCTGAACACATTCCAATTCCATTTGGGAACAGATATGCCTTTGAAAAAGAAAAATTGGCCAGAAATTGCGGTAAAAACACTCAAAATTATTATTTATTTACTTTTATTTCCTTGCAAAAAAAGGATGATTTTTACCCAAATCTGCCAAAATGTGGGTGTTTGACTATTGATCCATGCTCCACACGTCTCCTGAGGAATTTCTGCGTTGTTTGGAGAAAAGTCAATTTTTGGCCAAATTTGGTGAAAAATGTAAGGCTAACCCCTTGTCTTTTTTTCAATTTTGGCCAAAAAATGAAATTCCTTGAAACTTGCTGGAAAGATGCCTAAGGTAACCCTGAACACATTCCAATTCCATTTGGGAACAGATATGCCTTTGAAAAAGAAAAATTGGCCAGAAATTGGGGTAAAAACACTCAAAATTATTATTTTTTTACTTTTATTTCCTTGCAAAAAAAGGATGATTTTTACCCAAATCTGCCAAAATGTGGGTGTTTGACTATTGATCCATGCTCCACACGTCTCCTGAGGAATTTCTGCGTTGTTTGGAGAAAAGTCAATTTTTGGCCAAATTTGGTGAAAAATGTAAGGCTAACCCCTTGTATTTTTTTCAATTTTGGCCAAAAAATGAAATTCCTTGAAACTTGCTGGAAAGATGCCTCAGGTAACCCTGTACACATTCCAATTCGATTTGGGAACAGATATGCCTTTGAAAAAGAAAAAAATTGGCCGGAAATTGGTGTAAAAACACTCAAAATTATTATTTATTTACTTTTATTTCCTTGCAAAAAAGGGATGATTTTTACCCAAATCTGCCAAAATGTGGGTGTTTGACTATTGATCCATGCTCCACACGTCTCCTGAGGAATTTTTGCGTTGTTTGGAGAAAAGTAAATTTTTTGCCAAATTTGGTGAAAAATGTAAGGCCCTTGTATTTTGTTCAATTTTGGCCAAAAAATGAAATTCCTTGAAACTTGCTGGAAAGATGCCTAAGGTAACCCTGAACACATTCCAATTCGATTTGGGAACAGATATGCCTTTGAAAAAGAAAAATTGGCCGGAAATTGGGGTAAAAACACTCAAAATTATTATTTATTTACTTTTATCTCCTTGCAAAAAAAGGATGATTTTTACCCAAATCTGCCAAAATGTGGGTGTTTGACTATTGATCCATGCTCCACACGTCTCCTGAGGAATTTCTGCGTTGTTTGGAGAAAAGTCAATTTTTGGCCAAATTTGGTTAAAAATGTAAGGCTAACCCCTTGTCTTTTTTTCAATTTTGGCCAAAAAATGAAATTCCTTGAAACTTGCTGGAAAGATGCCTAAGGTAACCCTGAACACATATCAATTCGATTTGGGAACAGATATGCCTTTGAAAAAGAAAAATTGGCCGGAAATTGAGGTAAAAACACTCAAAATTATTATTTATTTACTTTTATTTCCTTGCAAAAAAAGGATGCTTTCTACCCAAATCTGCCAAAATGTTGGTGTTTGACTATTGATCCATGCTCCACACGTCTCCTGAGGAATTTCTGCGTTGTTTGGAGAAAAGTCAATTTTTGGCCAAATTTGGTGAAAAATGTAAGGCTAACCCCTTGTCTTTTTTTCAATTTTGGCCAAAAAATGAAATTCCTTGAAACTTGCTGGAAAGATGCCTAAGGTAACCCTGAACACATTCCAATTCCATTTGGGAACAGATATGCCTTTGAAAAAGAAAAATTGGCCAGAAATTGCGGTAAAAACACTCAAAATTATTATTTATTTACTTTTATTTCCTTGCAAAAAAAGGATGATTTTTACCCAAATCTGCCAAAATGTGGGTGTTTGACTATTGATCCATGCTCCACACGTCTCCTGAGGAATTTCTGCGTTGTTTGGAGAAAAGTCAATTTTTGGCCAAATTTGGTGAAAAATGTAAGGCTAACCCCTTGTCTTTTTTTCAATTTTGGCCAAAAATGAAATTCCTTGAAACTTGCTGGAAAGATGCCTAAGGTAACCCTGAACACATTCCAATTCCATTTGGGAACAGATATGCCTTTGAAAAAGAAAAATTGGCCAGAAATTGGGGTAAAAACACTCAAAATTATTATTTATTTACTTTTATTTCCTTGCAAAAAAAGGATGATTTTTACCCAAATCTGCCAAAATGTGGGTGTTTGACTATTGATCCATGCTCCACACGTCTCCTGAGGAATTTCTGCGTTGTTTGGAGAAAAGTCAATTTTTGGCCAAATTTGGTGAAAAATGTAAGGCTAACCCCTTGTCTTTTTTTCAATTTTGGCCAAAAAATGAAATTCCTTGAAACTTGCTGGAAAGATGCCTCAGGTAACCCTGTACACATTCCAATTCGATTTGGGAACAGATATGCCTTTGAAAAAGAAAAAAATTGGCCGGAAATTGGTGTAAAAACACTCAAAATTATTATTTATTTACTTTTATTTCCTTGCAAAAAAGGGATGATTTTTACCCAAATCTGCCAAAATGTGGGTGTTTGACTATTGATCCATGCTCCACACGTCTCCTGAGGAATTTTTGCGTTGTTTGGAGAAAAGTAATTTTTTTGCCAAATTTGGTGAAAAATGTAAGGCTAACCCCTTGTATTTTTTTCAATTTTGGCCAAAAAATGAAATTCCTTGAAACTTGCTGGAAAGATGCCTAAGGTAACCCTGAACACATATCAATTCGATTTGGGAACAGATATGCCTTTGAAAAAGAAAAATTGGCCGGAAATTGATGTAAAAACACTCAAAATTATTATTTATTTACTTTTATTTCCTTGCAAAAAAAGGATGATTTTTACCCAAATCTGCCAAAATGTGGGTGTTTGACTATTGATCCATGCTCCACACGTCTCCTGAGGAATTTCTGCGTTGTTTGGAGAAAAGTCAATTTTTGGCCAAATTTGGTGAAAAATGTAAGGCTAACCCCTTGTATTTTTTTCAATTTTGGCCAAAAAATGAAATTCCTTGAAACTTGCTGGAAAGATGCCTAAGGTAACCCTGAACACATTCCAATTCCATTTGGGAACAGATATGCCTTTGAAAAAGAAAAATTAGCCAGAAATTGGCATAACAACACTCAAAATTATTATTTATTTACTTTTATTTCCTTGCAAAAAAAGGATGATTTTTACCCAAATCTGCCAAAATGTGGGTGTTTGACTATTGATCGATGCTCCACACGTCTCCTGAGGAATTTTTGCGTTGTTTGGAGAAAAGTCAATTTTTGGCCAAATTTGGTGGAAAATGTAAGGCTAACCCCTTGTATTGTTTTCAATTTAGGCCAAAAAATGAAATTCCTTGAAACTTGCTGGAAAGATGCCTAAGGTAACCCTGAACACATTCCAATTCCATTTGGGAACAGATATGCCTTTGAAAAAGAAAAATTAGCCAGAAATTGGGTAAAAACACTCAAAATTATTATTTATTTACTTTTATTTCCTTGCAAAAAAAGGATGATTTTTACCCAAATCTGCCAAAATGTGGGTGTTTGACTATTGATCCATGCTCCACACGTCTCCTGAGGAATTTTTGCGTTGTTTGGAGAAAAGTCAATTTTTGGCCAAATTTGGTGAAAAATGTAAGGCTAACCCCTTGTATTTTTTTCAATTTTGGCCAAAAAATGAAATTCCTTGAAACTTGCTGGAAAGATGCCTAAGGTAACCCTGAACACATTCCAATTCCATTTGGGAACAGATATGCCTTTGAAAAAGAAAAATTAGCCAGAAATTGGGGTAAAAACACTCAAAATTATTATTTATTTACTTTTATTTCCTTGCAAAAAAAGGATGATTTTTACCCAAATCTGCCAAAATGTGGGTGTTTGACTATTGATCCATGCTCCACACGTCTCCTGAGGAATTTCTGCGTTGTTTGGAGAAAAGTCAATTTTTGGCCAAATTTGGTGAAAAATGTAAGGCTAACCCCTTGTATTTTTTTTCAATTTTGGCCAACAAATGAAATTCCTTGAAACTTGCTGGAAAGATGCCTAAGGTAACCCTGAACACATTCCAATTCGATTTGGGAACAGATATGCCTTTGAAAAAGAAAAATTGGCCGGAAATTGGGGTAAAAACACTCAAAATTATTATTTATATACTTTTATTTCCTTGCAAAAAAAGGATGATTTTTACCCAAATCTGCCAAAATGTGGGTGTTTGACTATTGATCCATGCTCCACACGTCTCCTGAGGAATTTCTGCGTTGTTTGGAGAAAAGTCAATTTTTGGCCAAATTTGGTGAAAAATGTAAGGCTAACCCCTTGTATTGTTTTCAATTTTGGCCAAAAAATGAAATTCCTTGAAACTTGCTGGAAAGATGCCTAAGGTAACCCTGAACACATTCCAATTCCATTTGGGAACAGATATGCCTTTGAAAAACAAAAATTGGCCAGAAATTGGGGTAAAAACACTCACAATTATTATTTATTTACTTTTATTTCCTTGCAAAAAAAGGATGATTTTTACCCAAATCTGCCAAAATGTGGGTGTTTGACTATTGATCCATGCTCCACACGTCTCCTGAGGAATTTTTGCGTTGTTTGGAGAAAAGTCAATTTTTGGCCAAATTTGGTGAAAAATGTAAGGCTAACCCCTTGTATTTTTTTCAATTTTGGCCAACAAATGAAATTCCTTGAAACTTGCTGGAAAGATGCCTAAGGTAACCCTGAACACATTCCAATTCCATTTGGGAACAGATATGCCTTTGAAAAAGAAAAATTGGCCGGAAATTGGGGTAAAAACACTCAAAATTATTATTTATTTACTTTCATTTCCTTGCAAAAAAAGGATGATTTTTACCCAAATCTGCCAAAATGTGGGTGTTTGACTATTGATCCATGCTCCACACGTCTCCTGAGGAATTTCTGCGTTGTTTGGAGAAAAGTCAATTTTTGGCCAAATTTGGTGAAAAATGTAAGGCTAACCCCTTGTCTTTTTTTCAATTTTGGCCAAAAAATGAAATTCCTTGAAACTTGCTGGAAAGATGCCTAAGGTAACCCTGAACACATATCAATTCCATTTGGGAACAGATATGCCTTTGAAAAAGAAAAATTGGCCGGAAATTGAGGTAAAAACACTCAAAATTATTATTTATTTACTTTCATTTCCTTGCAAAAAAAGGATGCTTTCTACCCAAATCTGCCAAAATGTGGGTGTTTGACTATTGATCCATGCTCCACACGTCTCCTGAGGAATTTCTGCGTTGTTTGGAGAAAAGTCAATTTTTGGCCAAATTTGGTGAAAAATGTAAGGCTAACCCCTTGTATTTTTTTCAATTTTGGCCAAAAAATGAAATTCCTTGAAACTTGCTGGAAAGATGCCTAAGGTAACCCTGAACACATTCCAATTCCATTTGGGAACAGATATGCCTTTGAAAAAGAAAAATTGGCCAGAAATTGGCGTAAAAACACTCAAAATTATTATTTATTTACTTTTATTTCCTTGCAAAAAAGGATGATTTTTACCCAAATCTGCCAAAATGTTGGTGTTTGACTATTGATCCATGCTCCACACGTCTCCTGAGGAATTTCTGCGTTGTTTGGAGAAAAGTCAATTTTTGGCCAAATTTGGTGAAAAATGTAAAGCTAACCCCTTGTATTTTTTTCAATTTTGGCCAAAAAATGAAATTCCTTGAAACTTGCTGGAAAGATGCCTAAGGTAACCCTGAACACATTCCAATTCCATTTGGGAACAGATATGCCTTTGAAAAAGAAAAATTGGCCGGAAATTGGGGTAAAAACATTCAAAATTATTATTCATTTACTTTTATTTCCTTGCAAAAAAAGGATGCTTTCTACCCAAATCTGCCAAAATGTGGGTGTTTGACTATTGATCCATGCTCCACACGTCTCCTGAGGAATTTTTGCGTTGTTTGGAGAAAAGTCAATTTTTGGCCAAATTTGGTGAAAAATGTAAGGCTAACCCCTTGTATTTTTTTCAATTTTGGCCAAAAAATGAAATTCCTTGAAACTTGCTGGAAAGATGCCTAAGGTCACCCTGAACACATTCCAATTCGATTTCCGGACAGATGTACTTTTGAAAAGAAAATCTCGACAAAAAAGTTGTAAAAACAAAAATTTAATTTTTAAATCCCTTGCAAATTTTGATTAAAGTTCCTTTAAACTTGCAGGATTGCTATAACTATCTCAGGATTAACACTTTGTGAGCATTTTTGTTTGCCAGAAGTTTAAACGGTTAATCCCTTATAAAATATTTCCTCCAAATATCTTCAGATTTATTTCTTTTGAAATATTCAAAATTGCCAGGTAAATCACTCGCAACCATATTTTCTTATCAGGCAACATCTTTCGTGTTGTTAAGGTCAAGATAACATCAATGTCCATTATTTTTTCAATTATTACTCAAAATATTAAATTCTTCAAATGTCATTCATAATTACAATGTTTAGAGGCAGTTTCAAGGATCTGGTCTCTTTGTTGGTCACGTGGTATCCTCAGAGGCATACATCCCATAGTGATAGCGACACAATTGCATGATGGGATGTCTTTTCAATGAACTACCCCCTGCGATTACCACGTGACCACAGAGATGACGACATCCGTTACACCGTCCATAAGGTGAATTGTACAGAAGTCAAGTAGAAAAAAAACACAATATAATTTAAGCAGTTACAAGTTATACATATATTATTTTAGGGTTTAACAATGGAGGCAGAAATTTAAACATTAACATGACATAATGAGCAAGAGTTACAACAGAAAATGAAGCCTGAAACTGTATTTACTGCGGACCAGTGTACATCGCCGAGGCCGGCAGGGTAGAACTAGTCGCCCCACCCCTCACAAAACACACACACACACACACACACACACCCACAATTTGTTATTAATTTATTTACACAGCTTTGGTAATAAATTTTGCTCACCCATCCTGTGGGCGGGTCCGAGGGAGGGATTGGGGTGGCTAAGCACTCCTCCCCTGCCCTAGCCTCCCCGACTGGCCAATGTTAATTATTTACAAAATTGAACGAAATCCCCAAATAACGTCATCATCAATCTTGTTTCGTTGCTTTGGGCTTTTGGTTTGTTCATGTGCTACCTGTAACGTCTCATCATCCCCGTTTACCCTTGAACTGTTTTTGGAATTTAACACCCAAGCTATCCTGGACCAACCACTGGCATCTCATGCTTGCTCAGAAACTTCACTGCTATCTAAATATATCTAAATAGCGCATCGGAAACCACACCTATAAACTTAATTTCCATCATATGGCACCGTACGTCTGGACTGAGATATCAATGGTGCTAGACATTCGATTCCCGTTTTCATTGGTATTCGGTTCGGTATTCGATTCGGTATTCGGTGCGTCCGCGGCGTTAATGTACACGTAGTACGTGGAGACTTCATTCTTCCCGTCTGTCGAGTGTCTTTGGCTGGTCAAATGTCTCGTATCGTCGCCATCTCCTGGATTTGCTTCATTCCTTATGGAGATGCTGTCAAAGACACAAAAATAATAGAATAGATTGTCCGAATATAATGACATAGGGCCCATTCCCCCCCCCCCCTAAAAAAAAAAACAGTGTTAATTAAGGAATCGACTAATCAACCAGGCCATGCAGGGTGTTCTGAAGGGCACTCCGTGTGCCCCCCCCCCCCCCCCCCCCCCGTTATGCCACCAAAATTAAGGCAGACATCCACCATCTTGAGTCACACATGACGCATCCGCTGGGTTTTTTTTAACAGACAGCTGGCATTGAAACTTTTCTTAAGAGTAAAGACGGTAAAAATAACAATCATATTTTCCTGACCAGCTACATGCATTTAGATTTAAATAGTTGTATCGAACGATTGGCCAACATCCTATAAAAATAATTGATATTATTAGGGTAATTGCTGTCTAAATTAAGTGGGGAAAAGCCTCACCTACACAATGATCGATGAACATGTAACTCTTTGGCATGACCCAACATGGCGGATCAGTGTTTCAAGGCGTATTGGCGAATCAACATGTATAACCCAGCCCAGTTAGTATACATGTAGATGTCAATGGGTCTAAAACACAAGTTACTTACCAGCGTCGTATCAGGGCATAAATGAGCGCCGAGACCACGAAGAGTATGATAAGACCCCACAGAGACACCGCAACTATAGTCAGGACTCCCTCCAAATCCAGAGGATAAAATCTCAAGGTCAACGTCGATGAAGAGGCGGCGGATTCTTTAAGTAAAAAAGTTTGCAAGGGGGAAAAGATCGTGTCAATTTTGCATATCCGATCCCAGACTGGGAGCTGAAGTGCTCTGCAACGTGCAAAACTCAATCAGGCCAACTTTACTCACTCTTTAGCCAGCAAATTTCTCCGAAAATTCCACTGGCAAAAAAATATCATCAGTGTTTCACCAACCAAGTTTGCAGACTCAATTCTATTTTAAAAGGAGAAATGTCTTCAACATTTCTCACATGAGGTCAAGTTATTTCAAAATGAGGCTAAAACGATATAGACTGGTACATGTCCTACTATTTTAAAAGACTAACCTCTACATTCAATGTCATTAATCTGGTGCCTAACTATGGAGAAATATGTAGAAATATAGATCTAGTACCTGACATTCTAGATATTTCTTTTGGCAAAGCTAGCTGACAGCTGATTCATGCAGCACTGAAGAGTTGTTGGACTGGCTGTTTCAGATGTCAGTCTATTGTCTTGTTTTGCATGTTTTCAGTAACTTTTGCATAGTTTTGGGACTCTCATTCACAGTATATTGAGAGTCCCAAATTTTCGGACTAAGCAATGACTCGACTTGTGGAAGTCTGAAACTCATTTGTTGCAAAGATAAGTCGAATTTCGGGAACACTAGATAGGCCTAAAAGCACAGTCAACCATAAAAGAAGTCATTATGTCTTCTTCCACTGTACAATGTACATTAAACTGTTGGTTTGTGTCAGTTGTAGTGCACACACCTAAACAAGCAGACTAGCATACGATTTTACAGTGCATAGTGTTCAGTCTCATATACGAGGTACATGTTTCCACACCTTCATGCGTGTTTTTACCTGCTGATACAGTTGTCCACGGTCCTGTCAGATCCCCTAGTCCGAACACTAAGAAGCCAAAGATCGGCAGGAAACCAAAAGACCAGTACCGGTATCCCTCCATTTTGATAGCGGGTGTCCGAGTCAATAGTCACGGCCCGCGTATCCCCTTGCCACTCGCTACTTCGCACAACCATGTGTGGCAGTACAATGGGCGACACACAGAATACTATTCAGCGGTTGTAAAGGAACATAATTATGCAACTGAACAGCCTGGCGTTTGTAAAATACCAAATCAGTGTAAAGTTCTTCAAAGAGATCATTGAAGCGTGGTTTTTAAACCGTAGAGCTATGAACGGGTCTCTTGCAGCCTGCTTGTACCGAATGTATTTACACATGAGCTTTGCGACTTGAAGAGCTGGACAGTTTCACGGCCATTCGTTCCTGTGCAATCATAAAATTCAAAAGCTCTACGTCCGTATAGGATGCCAAAAATCGGATGCAAAATATTTTCGAGGCAGCAACAAATTTAATGTCTTCAATGTCAAGGCGTATTATATGCGTTTGTTTATGGTGTAAATCGAGGACACACACGCGCAACATCGTCGGTGAATCGAGGACAGGAACCAAATCGAGGACGACCTCGATTAGAAAACGTGTACAAAACTGCTGTTGCGAAAAAATTAAAATACAAACAAAGGAAATGGGAAGAGGAACAAAAAAGATCCTCGATTTACACCATAAACAATCGTGTATGTTTGTGTGAAGGGGATAAAGATTATCTGCTCAGAGATATTTTGAAACAGCTATTGTGACAAAGAAAGACTATTCATAAGTTTCTATTAAGTTATCCACTATTGTCAGAAACTGATTTTATAATACAAATAAATACAATTCTGCACATTTTGAACCTCGTTTCCACTCAATTATTACTTTACAGTTTTTAAAGAAATATAATATGTCATATACTGCATATATGATTGTTTATTTTAATATGATTTTTCATTACATATTAAAGTGATTTTACATTACATGTAAACACAGGGTTTCGGTTGAAGGCATACTCCCTTCAGATTGTATGTCTTCGCGTAAAATTTTTCTAGTTAGTTAAATAAACTGCAGAAAGACAAGTCTAACATTTCTACGGCCGCCATTTATTCTAATACCGTCCTCATTCCCTGTAGTCTTGGTTCAAGGCGCTCTCATTGAGTTATTCTGACAGTACAGCCTTCATACCGTGCGCAGCAGCATGTATGTTCCTGTTCATAGGGGTGCACGCGGGTCAGTAAATTAGGCCCAAAATTGCCTACGCCAAATCACGATTTACATGCCCACAAAGTTTCCGGTATAAGAATATTTCTATTGGGCCATGAACTTGCCGGTTTGCAAAAAAAAGGAAGGGTGGATCCCGTGCAGAGGACCGCTAGCTCGTATTTAGGTGAAATTAGGCCACAAAATGGCTCTCTTTTGGAGTGGACTGTAGGCATCTTTTTTTTTCAAAATGGCGATGTGCTTCAGGACTACTTTTGGAATGGAGCGTAGGCATCCTCTTTCAAAATGGCGATGGGCTTCAGGACTACTTTTAGGGGTGATCCTCTTTTGATGGAATTTTCCCCCAAACGTCATTGGTTAAACCCAATAAATTGAACAGAAAATGAAAAATGAGGAAAAAGCTTTAACTTGATGTGGGTATCAAATATCTTGGATAATTGTGAGTATTCGCATAATAAAGGGCGCCAGCTTCGATGAATCGCTGCTAAGTCCAATAAACCCGTTCAAATATTTGTATTACATTTATTCACCCCAGGGTATCATAATGCCCAAGCTGTTCAAAACTGGTTTCCATTGGGGCCCTGCATACAATAAAAATTACTACAAACATGTATACATATACAATATATTACAAATGCAATTCAACACATTACAATTTGCCGATTATGTGCACAGTATTCTACACACATGCAGATTCCCCAAAATGGCGTCGTTGTAAACAGCGCCCTCATTCGCCTGTATTCATTTGCCTGAGAGATTGAAGTAAGGGTAACGAGGGACGAAGTGGTCCTCACTCCTGAAGTAATCCTCCCGGTCCTGTCCGCCAGTGGGTTGATCGGGCACTCCCACCGCCTCCTCGTAAGACGGGGGAGATGCCTCCTGCAACGCGTCGTATGAGGCCGCTGTGTGTTAAAACAAATTAACGTGAATACCAGCGTTTTTTAGAAATAGAGGGCGCTATTAGGTTCGGGTGAATGGAATCCATAACCAGCAGCGCTCTCCTGTAATGTTTGTTCATATCTCGAAGGCTCATGAAAATCATGAGTGCACGGCCTTAATTTATTAAGTAAGGTTTAATAGCTGACCATCAAAACATTGATCATATTTAAAAAGTGAGACGATGTTTCACAGTTATTCAGCATGAGTTGAAATACACGTACTGTATGACTAATATTAATACCTGAAGATGTGCATTTCTGAGAGCTCCTTTTCTCAAGTCGTGCTGCTAATTCGGCCGTGAAATCAGTAGCAACCGGGAGGCTGGGCACGGGGGCAGCTGGGAGGCTGAGCACGGGGGCAGAAGTGCGCAGCGGCACGGTGCCGATATACACTAGAAATCGAACCTTGTCCAAATCAGCTTCCTTGATCTGTTGAAGAAGCAGGAGTTGTGAAATCAAATTCAGTCAATTCAGTCGATTCCTTACTTATGGGGATTCGGGTAGGCGTAGCGGTGCTTCCCTTGACTTCCAACTCTGTGGGCCTATAGGTTCGGGTCCGGTCCCAGATCAGTGGCTTGGATTTTCAGTCCCTACCTGATTCTAAGATTTTCCACTGGAATGTCGATTTGTTGTTTTTTTCCCTTAAATATCATATATCCGTATTTTCTCAAGGTTTCTTTATTTCCATACTACATCGCGGTTGCACTTTTGAAGAACTCAAGCACTTTTATACGCCTCGAGCAAAACAAGCTGTTTACATGAGAACACTGTTTGCAGGCCTACTTGTAAAGATTTTAAAACTCTGGCTGTCGGTTACCGAGAAAAAAACAGCAACCGAGAAAAACCAGATCCCATTATTCTGGTCTGGTGTGTCGACAATTGTGTGCTCTCTCCAATTCGAATGGTGAAGTGACGCCCGTACATGCAAAGCACCAAAAGAGTAGAGTTTAAAGTGTAGCCTACCTGGACGAAGTACTCGATGTCAATGAGACCGCAGCCAACTAAGCCCGAGGCTGGTACCGGGGGAATCAGCAGCGGTCCTACCGTGAAATCCGTCCTATCCTCCCGCTGGCAAGCCACCTTCGCACTCGCTGTCGATAAAGTGACATCTTCAGAGCGGTTGTTGTCAGTCACTTTGAATTTGAAGATAGTTTTCTGGAGAAAAAATATTCAAACCAGACATTAGAATGTATGTCTATGATTTCACAAAGAGTAGGCCTATGGTATCGCCACTGTGTTGCTTGAAATGTTATGGCTTACTCCTGGAGATACGAATTTGTAAGTTGGATTCATTGATACCCAAGGTATGGCCGGAAACTATGCGTGTCTATAGGCAATAGTCTACATGCCTATGCGGCAACAGTGCACTTTCATTCCCACCAGGAACTAGTGCTCATATGCCTATTCTATGAACATTTAGCCATTCTGAAACATTTAAATAGAATTTAGTGCACTCTGCTAGGCTCACCTTGTCTTTTGCGCTAGGTATTAAAGGACTACATTTTTGACCAACTGTGTACAATTGCCGGTTCATGATTGCTTTAAACATTTGTTAACATAGAGTGTTGAGATTTGCACCTGAACGAGTTTTGCCTTAAACTGCCTCTGATTCTTGCCGACGCGGTTATCCACGTGACCGGTGACAGTGATGCTTTCGCCGGGCACATAGCCACGCCTTGGCAGACCGACCGTTGTGACATTCTGCACTCGTCCAACGTTTAAGAATTGACGCGTTGTGGTCGTTTTGTCCACCTCTGTCTGAATGACAAGAACAGAAAAATTGCTGTACTAGGGTATGCAACCTCGTCTCCGTAATGTGTTAAGCATTACGCTACTACTACCAGTGGCTTTCCACTATTGTCTTAAGAACATGAGAAGCCAAGAAATAACTATTAAAAAAAATTGCATTACACTGTTCTTTCATCCTTCTTCTTTAGAATTTCCATCGCTGTTACGATCAGTCAAAGACCAAATTCAGGGAGAGGGACGATTCGGGTTCCATTATTCCATTTTTTTTAACGAGTATCCCACATGGGCGTCGCTAGAGTGTGTGGGGGTGAGTTTGTCTTCCAGTCACTATGTGAACATGTTAACAAAAGTTGTCCACATAATGCAGGTTGTGTTCGCCTTCTCTGGACAACAGGTTTGTTAGAGGCATTTTCGGGTTAGGGTTATCAATCACAGAATAAAGCGAAACATTCAAGGAAATCAAAAATAAAATTGGGGTTGAAAGAGTTTTCACAGTTTGAGTAAAATTATTATTTGTACCGAGTTTTCAGAACTACGCGAAAACAAAGGAATGTCCACATAGCGTATGTAAAACAAACATGGGTGGGTCTCCGCGTGTGGAGTTCTCAGATTGAGTCTATACACATGCAAAACCTTAGAGTTTTAGATTCTCAGAAGAACAAGAGGATGAAATTGAATCTAACCTGCACGTCAGCCATGGTGTTGAGATCAGCTGTGGGTCCGATCATACTGAAGTGCTTCAGTGTCTTGTAATCCTTGGTCAGGAGCAACTGCTTGACGGACACAGTTGCCTTGGCCCAGTAGCGAACATATCCCACTTTGCTCTCGAAGGAAAATGGGAGGGGCTGGATATTAGGGAGCTGGAACTCGAACGGGATACGGTTCGTTCCCGGCTGGATTTCAAGTTTTCTGTCAGTTCTCTGTCCATGACCTGCAGATGGAACATTGAAAGACATAAAGGGACTGACTTATCATGCATGAAGATTAAAGGTTTGGTGTTATTTTGGTCCGAAACATTTTCGAGGCTATGAAGAATAAAAAAGTTAGATCATTTTGATCGCAACTAGATGTAGACCTGAAAACATTGATTTGGGCAATATTCTTTTATAGGGCATTATACTTATCTGTACTAAAATGAGAAAATCGTATAAAAACAGCCACATTACTAACCTGCCTCGAAAACATCCAAAGTTTTATCGAAGTAATCCTCTTTAAATTCATAGTTCCCGCCATTATTTTTATTATGTCCATGCATCCTGGCGATACCTTTGAATTGCATCCGGATACCTACAAACAATAAGAAAATCCTGACATAATTATATTCTGCCTATTAATAGGCATGAAGCTTCATTAATATTCATGAACCCAACGCTACCTTCTTGCAAAGCCTGCTTTGAACTTTCATAACATGCAACCCTGTGTGTTCGTTTAAATTGTTCAGAAATTACAGAAAAGGTATACTGAAAACGGGATTTGTCTAGAAACCATCGGCAAACTATCGGTGAACCATCAGGAAACCATCGGGAAACCATAAGGAAACCATAGGGAAACCATCGGGAATTTTGTAACAAGGAAAAGACAAGTTCACTTCTTTATGTTTTTCTTTGGTTACTAAAGGCGGTTTGCTGAAATTATGGTCATTTACCAAACCCGACCTTGTCTCCAGATTCGGGTACATATCTGACTCCAGAACCTTTAGCCTTCGTGTTAAAATAAAAAGAAACACTCCACAATTGAACCTCACATTATAGGATGTAAAACACTGACGTACAGTCTTAGCCGAAGTCCCCGAAGTGGGGGCCTTACATACATATCTTCCGACGCCAAAACCGGAGAATTTATGCCTTTTATGTTTGAAAAACCACCTGCTCATTAATACATTGATTGATCCCAAACATATTGTACTTACTTTTCATGTTTTTCGAACCGTCCGAGTCCACCTCCATGTTAATGTGCCCCTTGATGACGTCGCCCTGACCAAACACATTCTTGTCCAAGACAATCTGTAGATTTTTCAATTTTCCCATTTCAAAGTATCTGTACGGATTGACTTCACAGCTCAAAAATGCATTACAATGTTGCGGTTATATTGCTCAACACAACATGTATTATACAGACAGCTTAACGAGGGAAGTGTCTCACAGGCCCTACGTGTATTTCTTCTATGCCATGGTTGTTTTTACCGTGACTTGATTTTTCCAGCGGTACGCGTGCAAAGTCCATTCTGGCTTTTAATTATTAAAATGATTTTCTTTTCATTAGGAGGGCGTTTACAAGATAGAGAGTTCAAAGAGCATGACGTCATGTATCCATAGTTCATAATGATAGTACATGTCGAGTACTTGTCTGGACATACGAATACAACGGAAGTGTAGGGTAAAGGTTATATACGTTGCAATGCATTATGGGGCCGATTGCGCTGGCAGTTTGGATTTAGTGTGGCGCGCATGCTGTCCCACTATGCATTGGGATTTAGTGTGGCGCGCATGCTGTCCCACAATGCATTGGGATTTAGTGTGGCGTGCATACTATCCCACAATGCATTGGGATTTAGTGTGACGCGCATATTTACGACAGATACTGTGACAAAAGAAAGACTATTAATACGTTTCCATTAAGTAATCCACAATTAAAGGAACTGACTTTATTAAATAAATAAACTTTCAAAATTCTGCATATTGAACTTTTTGAGCTGGGATCCATGGGAGATCAGTTGAGTTTTTCTCACTGAAAGGATCACGCAGGATAAATAAGAAAGAAAGAAATAAACCTTGTTTGACTGAATTATTACTTTACAGTCTTTAAAGAAATAAAAATTTTGTCATAAACTGCATATACGATTGTGTATTTCACTATGATTTTACATTACATGTTAAGTGATTTTACATTACATGTTAACCATTCAGGGTTTCAACTGAGGAAGGCAAGGCATCCTCCCTTTAGATTTTATGTCCACGTGATATTCTTCTAGTTAATAACATAAACATTTTATGCTGAAATTCTCGAAGACAAGTCTAACATTTTTACTGTCGTTATTTTTTCTAATACTTTCCTCGTTCCCTGTAGTCTTGGTGCAGGACGTTCTTAGCGGGGTAATTCGGTACAGCCTTTGTACCGCGCGCAGCTAGCATGCGTGTTCCTTGTCCTGATCACTGATCTCAATAGAAAGACCTCCGATCCTATATGGCGCCATCACGAACCTCCAAGAACCGCACGCAAAGCTCCTTGTTGGCTTGTGAATAGAGGGCGCCCTCTTCGGTGAACCGCTGCTAAGTCCAATGAACCCTTGCCCGCTGAAACATCGCACAAGGTAGGACGTCTTGAAACCAAGACTACGTTCCCTTAAATATATATATGTCGTTTCGATCAACTCACAAAAATCCTTTCGTAATACGTTGAGAACATTACCATAACAAAACTGCGTTCACGCTCAAGTGAACAAAGTATTACTTAGAGGAGGAAAGATTTATGGCTTACTGGAAATTTCGACAGCCATTATTGCATTAGTTCCTAGCCAGAAGACCCTAATTAATTTCGCATGGTTTGAAGCGCCGCTTTAAAGGATTATCATAGGCGCTATAAGACTCCAATTATTATTATTATATTAACAATCAACAAGATGAAGAAACAATAATGGCACATCCCAAATTGGCAGTCATCGGCAAGCTACGTCCACAAACAATGGTTTCTTACCTAAAGAGTTAATCAACCAGGCCAACGTCAATAACCTTGGTTAATTGTTACACTTCTGTTTATACACCAAAATGGCGTCGTTGTAAACAGCGCCCTCTTTCGTTCAAGAACTTGTTTAGTCCTGTTTATCTGCCTGAGAGATTGAAGTAAGGGTAACGAGGGACGAAGTGGTCTTCACTCCTGAAGTAATCCTCCCGGTCCTGCCCACCAGTGGGTTGATCGGACACGCCCACCGCCTCCTCGTAAGACGGGGGAGGGGCCTCATGCGAATCGTCGTAAGAGGGCACTGTGTGTAAAGAACAAAAAGGGTGATAACAATATCGTGAATAAGCCCCTTTTTGAGAAAAAGAGGGTGCTATTAGGTTCGGGTTAATAATAAAATTTTTACCTAAACCAATAGCCCCCTCCTGCTTTGTTTCTTTTCATACCTATAAAAAGGCTCATGAAAATCCTCAGTGCATGGATTTTCATCAAAATATTGATCACTTTTTTTAATAATAAATTGTGAGACGCTTGTTCGCACATACTCAGCAATGAGTCGAAACACTGAATGGCTAATATTAAATTAATACCTAAAGGTGTCCGTTCGTCTGGGCTCCATTTCTCAACTCGTGCTGCTGATTGGTCCGTGAAATCACTGGCAGCCGGCAGGCTCGGCACAGGGGAACGAGTGCGCAGCGGCACGGTGCCGATAACCAGTGGAAGGATTCCACTTCCGTCCAAGTACTTTATCTGTTGAAAAAGCAGGAGTTGTGAACCATTGATAAATTCAATGAGCTATACCAAAACGGCATGTTTTAATGAAAAGCGCCACCAAGTGTCAAATGGTGTCCAATTATCTTTTTATGTAACAGCGCCACCAAGAGTCAAATGAATTGTGTCGAATCGGCTCTGGCTGTTGTGTTTGAAACCGAGAAAAACTAACAACCGAGAAAAACCAGATCCAATCATTCTAGTGGTGTGTCGACAATTTTGTGCTTTCTTCAATTCTGATTGGTGAAGTGATGACGTTCGCTCGTGCTTAAAAGGCACTAATTGATATTGGAGGTGTAGCCTACCCTGACGAAGTACTGGGTGTCAATCAGTCCGCAGCCAATTAAGCCTGAGGGTGGTACCGGGGGAATCAGCAGTGGTCCTACCGTCAAATCAGTACTCTGGCCCCGCGGACAAGTCACGCTCGCACTCGCTGTCGATAAAAGAGTATTCCGAAAAGGGTAGCAGCTCTCCTTGTTCACTGGGAATATAAAAATGGATTTCTGCAAAAAACAATATCCAAAATAATACATAAGAATGGAGGTTTATGATTTCATCATCATCATCATCATCCCCATCCCCATCATCATCATCATCCTCATCATCATCATCTAGCGGTCGCAACCGAGATCTCGTTCACAACGCCACGCCAGGTGTCTTTATCCCTCATAATGTACGGAAGGTCTTCAATTTCACATTGGGTATCTCTGCCAATCACATCAATGTAGTTGAAGGGTCTTCGTCTTCTATTAGGCCATGGAAGTCTCCAACATCATACCTCAGATATGACCTGGTTTACAACACGGTAGCAGTGGCCAGCAAAGCGAACTCTTCGTTGAGCAACAATAGCAGAGAAAAGTGGAACGTCTCCGTAAATCTGTTCTTTAGTCCTGCGCTCACGCCATGAGATGTTCTGCACCCTTATAAGAAGCCTGGTGTGCCATAAAGGCTCCTTTGAAGCTCCTTCTTCATGGTCCAAGTTTCGGCTCAAGAGTATGATCGCGCGTTCCACTGAATTGCTTGAAATACTATGGCTTAGCCTACTCGGGGAGGTAAGAACTTGTAAATTGGAATCATTGATATTCAAGGAATGGGGAATTTTAGTATAATAGGCAATTAGTCAAGTCTGCGGCAACACTAGAATTATCCTATACAGCAACTGACAGTGGATTTACATGTCCACCACGTATATATATTACGACTATTTTAGCCATTCTGAAACAATTTAACAAGATTTTGTGGCTCTGCTAGGCTCACATTGTCTTTTGGCCTATAAGGACTACACTTTTGACACACTGTGTACAATTTCTCTGTCATCATTGCTTTGTAACATTGGAACAAAAGCTGCAGACATTTTTTTTACCTGAACGAGTTTCGCCTTGAACTGCGTCTGTATCTGCCTGCCACGATTTTCCACATGACCTGTGACAGTGATGCTTTCACCAGGCACATAGCCACGCCTTGGCAGGCCGACCGTTGTGACATCCTGCACTCGTCCAAATTTAAAGCCAAGGAATTGACGCCTTGTGATTGTTTCCTTGAACTCTGTCTGAATGACGAGAACAGATAATTTGCTTTACATTGGTATGCAACCTCGTCTCCATTTTCTACCAGCAGCTTTCCACTACTGTCTTAAGGGGCTGAAAGTGGACACTTGAACACGAGAGATACGAAATAAGTTAAACATTTTAGGACCGCTCATACTCTCTAAATTCCAAAGAGTGAACATTCACTCCATTCGAGTGAAGATTCACTCCCCCAGTCGGAAACTGTATAGGGACTAGACGTTTTAGAGTGAAACTTTTTTCTTCATTCGTAAGGATCGAGTTTTCACTCGAGCTTCGACTGAAGTGGTTCATTTTTCAGACTTTTTCAATCGAAATTGAGAGTGATTTTCACGCTAAAACGTCTTGTCCCTTATTTCACTCTTTAGAATTTGGAGAGTAAGTCCGACGCCTCATAGGTCAGACGCGCCTCGTTAAGTCCGACAAAATCTCACTGCTCCGTGAGAGCGGAGTTCTCAGATCGGGTCTATATAGCCTACATGCAGAGCATTAGGGTTTTAGATTCTCAGAAGAACAAGAGGATGAAATTGAAACTAACCCCCACGTCAGCCATGGTGTTGAGATCAGCTTTGGGTCCGATCATACTGAAGTGCTTCAGTGTTTTGTAATCCTTGGTCAGGAGCAACTGCTTGACGGACACCTTCGCCTTGGCCAGGTAGATGACACCGCCCAGTTCGTTCGCGAAGGAGAACGGGAGGGGCCTGTCAGTAGGAAGCGGGAACTCGAACGGGATACGGTTCATTCCCGGCTGGATTTGAGGGTTTCTCGCAGTACTTCCTTGATCTACAAATGGTGCATTTAAAGACATTACGAAAGTGGCTTAGGCCTAACTTTTGTCTATAAAGATGATTTGATGCAAAAACAAATACATGAAATAAACGGAACGGCGTACTTCTGCTACCCTGAGACTCTAGCAACCTTGTTATGCATGGGGGATCAGTAATGTGTGGAACAAAGTCGGTAGTCAATTTGTCCCGATGAATTACTAAAAAGCGCCAACCAATTTGACTGATATTGTAATTGAAAGAGGTATTATGTAACAATACCCACATGAAAGATGTATGCTTCACATACATTGTTGGGACCCTGTTTAATAGCACCAGTGGTGTTAAACGTTTACACAGGTGGTTCTATGTAGGCTATACCACCGGTGTTTAATGTACACCATATTTTCTGCAGTGTAAACACAGTATGACCTTCCCCTAGGGATTATATCTGCGCTGCAGGGTACAGTGCGCCCTCCAGCGGTCTCAACTACACGGTGGAGTGACATTTATGCAAATAAATGACACTGCACTGATTCACCGATCGATTGTAATTAGATTTCAGCACACGCAAAAACATGTGCCATTTTCAAGGTTGTTCAGATGATTTTGACCGCAAGTAGCTGCATTCCTGAAAACATTTATTGGGGCTATATTTAATTTATGAGGTATGATATCATACTCATCTGTACTAACTGCGAAAATCGAACACGTTACTCTTTTTAACACGTACAATTTTCTTATGTTGATAACACTTTTAGACAACATGAAACCCGTGAACTAAAGTATAAAACGTCCGGAAAACATGAAAAGATCGTACTTTTTGGATTTGTTTAATTTGAAACTCAGACGAGACTAACCAATATCGAAAACACACAACGTTGTATCGAAGTATTCCTCATGAAAATAACGGGGATCATATTTCCCGCGCTTTAAATAGATCCTGGTGAAACCTCTGAATCGCATCCGGATACCTGCAGACGAGAACAAGCATTTAATCCTGTCATCATATTCATGCAGATTATTATTAATATTCATAAACCCCACGCGACCTTTTTTTGCAAAGCTTTGAACTTACAGCATGTCACAATGCGTTTTCGTTAAAATGTCAAAACATTACAGGGACAAATACTGAAAACGGGATTTGTGTAGAAACTGTCGGGGATTTTGTGGCGAGGAAAAATGAATTAATTTCTTCATGTTTTCTGTGTTATTGTTTTACTGAAGTTCATTCACCAAACGCCGAATTCGTTTCTAGCTCTGGTTATTATCTGACGCCAGAAGCTTTTATTGTCTCTTTACAAAAAGTAAAACTCCAAAATCTGACGTCACATTATAGGATTCGATGATCCCCAAACACAACATTGACTTCAGTCTGAGACTGAGTCCCCTAAGTGAAGGACCAAAGCCAAAGCCAGACAAAGGCCGATGTTTCAAAAACACCTGTACAGTTATACATGGATTGATTATTCAACATTCATACATGTACTTACTTTTCACATCTTTCAGGGCTTCCGGGTCCACCTCCATGGCAATGTGCCCCTTGATGACGTCACCCTGACCAAACACATTCTTGTCCGAGACAATCTGTAGATTTTGCAATTTCCCCATGTCAAAATATCTATGCGGATTGACTTCACCGTACAGCTCTAATTTGTTCAACACAACAAGTATACAGACAGGTAAACGTCTATAGCTGGTTGGTTTTCCCTGTGACTTGATATTTCCAGCCGTGTGCGCAAAGTCCATTCTGGCTTTTAATGATTAAAATGGTTTTCTTTTTATGCGAAGGGCGCTTACATGACGTCACCATCCATAGTTCACATTCACAACAGTACATGTCGGGTACGCGGCATAGACCTGTCTCGGGAACTACCACTGGGCAATGCATTTGGATTTAGCGTGACGCGCATATTTGCGACAGATAATGTGTCAAAAGAAAGACAATTAATACGTTTCCATTATTAGTAATCCACAATTAAAGGAACTGACTTTATTAAATAAATAAACTTTCATAATTCTGCATATTGAACTTTTTGAGTTGGGATCCATGGGAGATCAGTGAGTTTTTCTCACTGAATGGATCACCCAGGATAAATAAGAAAGAAATAAATAAACCTTGTTTGACTGAATTATTACTTTACAGTCTTTAAAGAAATAAAAATTTGTCATAAACTGCATATACGATTTTGTATTTCAATATGATTTTACATTACATGTTAAGTGATTTTACATTACATGTTAACCATTCAGGGTTTCAACTGAGGAAGGTAAGGCATCCTCCCTTTAGATTTTATGTCCACGTGATATTCTTCTAGTTAATAACATGAACATTTTATGCTAAAATTCTCGAAGACAAGTCTAAATTTTTACTGTCGTTATTTTTTCTAATACTGTCCTCGTTCCCTGTAGTCTTGGTGCAGGACGTTCTTAGCGGGGTAATTCGGTACAGCCTTTGTACCGCGCGCAGCTAGCATGCGTGTTCCTTGTCCTGAACACTGATCTCTTTAGAAAGACCTCCGATCCTAATATGGCGCCATCACGAACCTCCAAGAACCGCACGCAAAGCTCCTTGTTGGCTTGTGAATAGAGGGCGCCCTCTTCGGTAAACCGCAGCTAAGTCCAATGAACCCTTGCCCGCTGAAACATCGCACAACGTAGGACGTCTTGAAACCAAGACTACGTTCCCTTAAATATATATATGTCGTTTCGATCAACTCACAAAAATCCTTTCGTAATACTTGAGAACATTACCATAACAAAACTGCGTTCACGCTCAAGTGAACAAAGTATTACTTAGAGGAGGAAAGATTTATGGCTTACTGGACATTTCGACAGCCATTATTGCATTAGTTCCTAGCCAGAAGACCCTAATTAATTTCGCATGGTTTGAAGCGCCGCTTTAAAGGATTATCATAGGCGCTATAAGACTCCAATTATTATTATTATATTAACAATCAACAAGATGAAGAAACAATAATGGCACATCCCAAATTGGCAGTCATCGGCAAGCTACGTCCACAAACAATGGTTTCTTACCTAAAGAGTACGTTAATCAACCAGGCCAACGTCAATAACCTTGGTTGTTACACTTCTGTTTATACACCAAAATGGCGTCGTTGTAAACAGCGCCCTCTTTCGTTCAAGAACTTGTTTAGTCCTGTTTATCTGCCTGAGAGATTGAAGTAAGGGTAACGAGGGACGAAGTGGTCCTCACTCCTGAAGTAATCCTCCCGGTCCTGCCCGCCAGTGGGTTGATGGGACACGCCCACCGCCTCCTCGTAAGACGGGGGAGGGGCCTCATGCGAATCGTCGTAAGAGGGCGCTGTGTGGAAAAAACAAAAAGGTGATAACAATATCGTGAATAAGCCCCTTTTTGAGAAAAAGAGGGTGCTATTAGGTTCGGGTTAATAATAAAAATTTTACCTAAACCAATAGCCTCCTCCTGCTTTGATTTTTTTTCATACCTAAAAAAGCTCATGAAAATCCTCAGTGCATGGATTTTAATCAAAATATTGATCACTTTTTTAAATAATAAATTGTGAGACGATTGTTCGCACATACTCAGCATGAGTCCAAACACTGAATGGTTAATATTAAATTAATACCTGAAGGTGTCCGTCCGTCTGGGCTCCATTTCTCAACTCGTGCTGCTGATTGGTCCGTGAAATCACTGGCAGCCGGCAGGCTGGGCACGGGGGAACGAGTGCGCAGCGGCACGGTGCCGATAACCAGCGGGAGGATTCCACTTCTGTCAAAGTACTTTACCTGTTGAAAAAGCAGTTGTGAACCATTGATCAATTCAATGAGCTATACCAATAAGGCATGTTTTAATGAAAAGCGCCACCAAGTGTCAAATGTTGTCCAATTATCTTCTTATTTGACAGCACCACCAAGAGTCAAATGAATTGTTTCGAATCTCTGGCTGTTGTGTTGGAAACCGAGAAAAACCAGATCCAATCATTCTAGTGGTGTGTCGACAATTTTGTGCTTTCTACAATTCTGATTGGTGAAGTGACGTACGCCCGTGCTTAAAAGGATACTGGAGGTGTAGCCTACCCTGACGAAGTACTGGGTGTCAATCAGTCCGCAGCCAACTAAGCCTGAGGGTGGTACCGGGGGAATCAGCAGTGGTCCTACCGTCAAATCAGTACTCTGGCCCCGCGGACAAGTCACGCTCGCACTCGCTGTCGATAAAAGAGTATTCCGACAAGGGTGGCAGCTCTCCCTGTTGTCTGGGGATATAAAACTGGATTTCTGCAAAAAACAATAGAATGGAGGTTTATGATTTCATCATCATCATCATCATCATCATCATCATCATCATCATCATCATCATCATCATCATCATCTAGCGGTCGCAACCGAGATCTCGTTCACAACGCCACGCCAGGTGTCTTTATCCCTCAGTATGTACGGGAAGGTCTTCAATTTCACATTGGGTATCTCTGCCAATCACATCAATGTAGTTGAAGGGTCTATGTCCTCTATTAGGCCATGGAAGTCTCCAACATAATACATCAGATATGACCTGGTTTACATCACGGTAGCAGTGGCCAACAAAGTGAACTCGTCGTTGAGCAATAATAGCAGAGATAGGTGGAACGTCTCCGTAAATCTGTTCTTTAGTCCTGCGCTCACGCCATGAGATGCTCTGCACCCTCATAAGAAGCCTGGTGTGCCATCAAGGCTCCTTTGAAGCTCCTTCTTCATGGTCCAAGTTTCGGCTCCAGAGTATGATCGCGCGTTCCACTGAATTGCTTGAAATATTATGGCTTAACCTTCTCCGGGAGGTAAAGAATTTGTAAATTGGAATCATTGATATTCAAGGAACTGGGAGTTTTAGTATAAATAGGCAATTAGTCAAGTCTACGGCAACACTAGAATTATCCTATACAGCAACTGACAGTGGATTTACAGATCCACCACGTATATATATTGCGAATATTTTAGCCATTCTGAAACAATTTAACAGAATTTTGTGGCTCTGCTAGGCTCACCTTGTCTTTTGGCCTATAAGGACTACACTTTTGACACACTGTGTACAATTTCTCTGTCATCATTGCACAAAAGCTGCAGAAAATTCTTTTTACCTGAACGAGTTTCGCCTTAAACTGCGTCTGTATCTGCCCGCCACGATTATCCACATGACCGGTGACAGTGATGCTTTCACCAGGCACATAGCCACGCCTTGGCAGACCGATCGTTGTGACATCCTGCACTCGTCCAAAGCCAAGGAATCGATGCCTTGTGGTTGTTTCCTTGAACTCTGTCTGAATGACGAGAACAGATAATTTGCTGTACATGGGTATGCAACCTCGTCTCCATTATGTTACTACTATCAGCAGCTTTCTACTGTTGTCTTAAGGGGTTGAAAGTGGACACTGGAACACGAGACATGAAATAAGTTAAAATATTTGGGATCCGCTCATACTCTCTAAATTCCAAAGAGTGAAAATTCACTCCATTCGAGTGAAGATTCACTCCCCCAGTCGGAAACTGTATAGGGACTAGACGTTTTAGAGTGAATTTTTTTCTTCATTCGTAAGGATCGAGTTTTCACTCGAGCTTCGACTGAAGTGGTTCATTTTTCAGACTATTTCAATCGAAAATGAGGGCGATTTTCACGCTAAAACGTCTAGTCCCTAATTTCACTCTTTGGAATTTGGAGAGTAAGTCCGACGCCTCATAGGTCAGACGCGCCTCGTTAAGTCCGACAAAATCTCACTGATCCGTGAGTGCGGAGTTCTCAGATCGGGTCTATATAGCCTACATGCAGAGCATTAGGGTTTTAGATTCTCAGAAGAACAAGAGGATGAAATTGAAACTAACCCCCACGTCAGCCATGGTGTTGAGATCAGCTTTGGGTCCGATCATACTGAAGTGCTTCAGTGTTTTGTAATCCTTGGTCAGGAGCAACTGCTTGACGGACACCTCCGCCTTGGCCAGGTAGGTGACACCGCCCAGTTCGTTCGCGAAGGAGAACGGGAGGGGCCTGTCAGTAGGCAGCGGGAACTCGAACGGGATACGGTTCGTTCCCGGCTGGATTGGAGGGTTTCTCGCAGTACTTCCTTGATCTACAAATGGTGCATTTAAAGACATTACGAGAGTGGCTTAGGCCTAACTTTCGTCTATAAAGATGACTTGATGCAAAAACAAATAAATGAAATAAACGGAACGGCGTACTTCTGCTACCCTGAGACTCTAGCAACCTTCTAATGCATGGGGGGATCAATAATGTGTGGAAAAAAGTCGGTAGTCAATTTGTCCCGATGAATTACTAAAAAGCGCCAACGAATTTGACTGACATTGTTGATAGAGGTATTATGTAACAATACCCACATGAAAGATGTAGGCTTCACATACATTGTTGGGGACCCTGTATAATAGCACCAGTGGTGTTAAACGTTTACACAGGTTGTTCCATGTAGGCTATACCACCGGTGTTTAATGTACACCATATTTTCTGCAGTGTAAACACAGTATGACCTTCCCCCAGGCATTATACCTGCACTGCAGGGTACAGTGCGCCCTCCAGCGGTCTCAACTACACGGCGGAGTGACATTTATGCAAATAAACTAACACTGCACTGATTCACTGATCGATTGTAATTAGATTTCAGCACACGCAAAAACATGTGCCATTTTCAAGGTTGTTCAGATTATTTTGACCGTAACTAGCTGCAGTCCTGAAAACATTTATTGGGGCTATATTTAATTTGTGAGGCATATTATCGTACTCATCTCTACTAACTGCGAAAATCGAACAAGTTACTATTTTGAACACGTACAATTTTCTTATGTTGATAACACTTTTAGATAACTTGAAACCCGTGAATTAAAGTATAAAACGTGCGGAAAACATGAACAGATCGTACTTTTTGGATTTGTTTCATTTGAAACTCAGACGAGACTAACCGGTATCGAAAACACACAACGTTGTATTGAAGTATTCCTCTTGGAAATAACGGGGCTCATATTTCCCGCGCCTTAAACAGATCCTGGTGAAACCTCTGAATCGCATCCGGATACCTGAAGACAAAAACAAGCAGGAAAATACTGACATCATTATTCATGCAGATTATCATTAATAGTCATAAATTCCACGCGACCTTTTTTTGCAAAGCTTTGAACTTACAGCATGTCACAATGCGTTTTCGTTTAAACTGTCAAAACATTACAGGGACAAATACTGAAAACGGGATTCGTGTAGAAACTGTCGGGGATTTTGTGGCGAGGAAAAAAAGAATTAATTTCTTCGTGTTATCTGTGTTATTGTTTTACTGAAGTTCATTCACCAAACGCCGAATTCGTTTCTAGCTCTGGTTAATACCTGACGCCAGAAGCTTTTATTGTCTCTTTGCAAAAAGTAAAACTCCGAAGTCTGACGTCACATTATAGGATTCGATGATCCCCAAACACAACATTGACTTCAGTCTGAGACTGAGTCCCCTAAGTGAAGGACCAAAGCCAAAGCCAGACAAAGGCCGATGTTTCAAAAACACCTGTACAGTTATACATGGCTTGATTATTCAACATTCATACATGTACTTACTTTTCACATCTTTCAGGGCTTCCGGGTCCACCTCCATGGCAATGTGCCCCTTGATGACGTCACCCTGACCAAACACATTCTTGTCCAAGACAATCTGTAGATTTTGCAATTTCCCCATGTCAAAGTATCTATGCAGATTGAATTCACCGTACAGCTCCAATTTGTTCAACACAACCAGAAACAGACACATAAACGTCTACAGCTCGTTGTTTTCCCTGTGACTTGATATTTCCAGCCATGCGCGCAAAGTCCATTCTGGCTTTTAATGATTAAAATGGTTTTCTTTTTATGAGAAGGGCGCTTACATGACCGTGGTATCTTTAGGGGAGCGGGCACTAGAAAGAGTCAAACGTGGCGGCCATTTTGCACGAGACACTCTCCGGTGTCGTTTATTCAACATCAAGAGAGGGCGCTCTTTAACATTAACAGCAATACGTTAACACATTACAATGACGTCACCATCCACAGTTCACATACACAACAGAACATGTCGGGTACGCGGCATAGACCTGTCTCGGGTACTTGGCATAGACCTGTCTTGGAAACTACCACTAGGCATAGACCTGCCTCGGGTACTAGGCATTGACCTGTCTCAAGTACTAGACATAGTCTCGGGTACTAGGCATTGACCTGTCTCGGGTACTAGGCATAGACCTATCTCGGTCACTGGGCATGGAGCTGTCTCGGGCACTAGGCATAGACCTGTCTCGGGTACTGGGCATGGAGCTGTGTCGGGTACTTGGCATGGACCTGTCTCAGGTACTGGGCATAGACCCGTCTCGGGTACTAGGCATTGACCTGTCTCGGGAACTACCACTAGGCATAGACCTGTCTCGGGTACTACGCATAAATCTGTCTCGGGTACTAGGCATAGACCTATCTCGGTCACTGGGCATTGACCTGTCTCGGGCACTAGGCATAGACCTGTCTCGGGTACTTGGCATAAACCTGTCTCGGGTACTAGGCATTGACCTGTCTCGGGAACTACCACTAGGCACAGACCTGTCTCGGGTACTACGCATAAACTTGTCTCGGGTACTGGGCATAGACCTGTCTCGGGTACTAGGCATAGACCTGTCTCGGGTACTGGGCACCGTCTCGGGTACTAGGCATAGACCTGTCTCAAGTACTAGGCATAGACCTATCTCGGTCACTGGGCATAGACCTGTCTCGGGTACTGGGCATAGACCTGTCTCTGGCACTAGGCATAAACCCGTCTCTGGTACAGGGCATATAGCTGTCTCTGGTACAGGGCATATAGGCCTAGCTGTCTCGGGTACTGGGCATGGAGCTGTCTCGGGTACTGGGCATGGAGCTGTCTCGGGTACTAGGCATAGACCTGTCTCGGGTACTAGGCATAGACCTGTCTCGGGTACTAGGCATAGACCTGTCTCTAGGCATAGACATGTCTCGGGTACTAGGCATAGACCTGTCTCTGGTACTAGGCATAGACCTTTCTCTGGTACTGGGCATGGAGTTGTCTCGGGTACTAGGCATAGATCTGTCTCGGGTACTGGGCATGGACTTGTCTCGGGTTCTGGGCATAGTTCTGTCTCTACTGGGCATAGTTCTACACTAGAATCTAGAACTAAACTGGAATCTTTAAAAGACTTTTCAGGTCATAATAAAGCCATTGTGTGGTCACGATGTCTTGTTATGCATCTGGTCACAGGGTAAGTCGTCATAAATGCCAATCAGTCAGTCAGTCAGTCAGTCAGTGATCGAGATATGCACAAGGTGCAATGGGCTGGCTCGTCTGGGACCGGCAAAATCTACATTGTTCATCTTCATGTCTCACTGCTGAAGGACGCGAGGCACTATTGACAAAGGGAGGACCAGCTGAAACAGAAATGGATGCTCAACAAAAAGGACTCTTAAAAGTCTCACATTTTTATTTCCTCAAAAACAGTTAAATATTTCAATCATTCAGATAAACGAGTTCCACAGAGGTAAAAGGTAATTTCAAAAACTTGCGTAAGTAGAAAATTTCAATAGTGGATCATACCTACTCCATGAAACTTCCAAAAGGTGTGTTTTTTAATCTGCGGACATCAGTTCAACAAATCGTTGTGTCTCTCTGTTGGGGAGTGAGTGAGTTATTAGTTAGTGAGTGAGTTATTTAGTTAGTTAGTTAGCTCGTAACAAACGTTCAGCCCACGCGCCGGCTGACGGCGGTAACCGCAGCTCAATGAAAGGTGATAACCCGTAATCCGATAATCCCATAATCCGTAATTCATAGACAATGATCCGCAGCTTCAAAGATCATTTCGAGGTGTTCGGTTAACATATCTGTCACCTCTCCGTTGTTTCCAATGAGGTAGCTGTTGGGCAGTTTCACACCGATAACGAAGAAGTATACAGTCTGGTACTTACAGATACAAATATAATTAGCACTTGAACTTGACTATTAAACTAAAATAAATTTATGGCGTAAGTTTTCGTAGCTTTTAAAGCTACTTCATCATACAGACTCACACAAGTGTACGTTTTTGAAAATTTACAACCGAAATAGACATACAACAGACACGAAAGAGATATTCAAAATAAACTCGGACTATTTCAAATTACAAATATACATTTGTTCCGATAAAATCTTGTTCAGACTCTTCATGTCATCACCAAGGCACAGTGTCACATGGCGATTTTGTGATTAAAAATGTGCACTGACAAACCTATAGTAGCTACGAGCTTCCCACTCGAGTAGAGATTACACGAACATTCACCGTGACACATGACCCCTTCACCTATGACCAAAAAAAAACCGCCCTCCACCGAAACCCTAATCGATGTCCGTAATGCGCATGCGTCAGTTGCTAAAAGAATGATTATCGGACTTTACTAAGTTTGAAAACATCATGAAGAGCCAAGAACGAGAAGAATAGGCTGAATTTCATTTTAGCGATAATCAGGACTCGATTAAACACAATTAAGGGAAGAAAATTGATTTTTGGAGGGGAAAAAATAAAATGTACAATTCCTCAGAGATTCAAACCCGAAACATGCAGCGAAACCACACTGATTGCCATGGATTTGAAACCATAAGAACGTATCCCGAATCAGGTCACATAATGTATTCGTTCACGTGATATGTTTCACGCATGCGTATCACGGTCAATGATGATGGAAACTTAACTATAACTCCTTCCGGGAAGTTGCCATTCTGGGTTTCCATGCGATGATGTGCTCCGAGTCGTAGTACAGGAACTCTTTGCCGTCCCTGCCGGTGGCCAGGCTCCTGAGATAGGCCTTGAACTCCTCAAGGACGGAGGAAGACACGCTCTCTCGGAAGTTCAGGACATTAGAGAGGAAGTCCAGCAGCAGGGCGCCCTCTTCCGACGAGTCGTCGAAGGCGGCCGTGATGTCGAAGTCGTGGTGTTCGTTGAGTTGGCCGCAGACGGCGTGCGGAATGCTGTGCCCGCTGAAGTAGTCACGGAGGTCGCGACTGCTGAAAAGTGGGTTCAGGTCGTCCTGTGCGAACCGAAATCTCTCCTCGATCTTGATGACGTCACACTTTTCTGAAAAACACAAGCCAGAAAGATGTTACCTATACAGTCACGGACCATGCTTTAAAGGGAATGTACATTTTGTACATCATTGGCTTTCGCTTTAATTTTTAGAAATGAACTATTTGAGGGGTTAGTATAATATGATCAAATATTGTTACACTGACATGTTTGAAGTTTTGTGTTCGAAAATGCTGGAAAAACCAAGAAAAACAAAAATGTTCAAGAAGTCTGGTTCCCTGACTCAATTAAAATTTAAATGGATCAATTTATAGATGCCGAAAAATTGTGAGGTAAGGGAACCAGTCTAGCTGGCCTGCACTCGTTCATGAACATGTAACCAAAAGCAAACACAATTCCAACGGTGGTCGGCCGACCACCGTTGGAAATGAATACAAAAATACCATTTTCTTGAAAATGACTTCACACCAGATGCCATAATTTTACAGGATGCTTTAAAGAGTGTCATTTACCAACATCCTAGTTAGGTATTTCGTAAAAAATTGGTAGTTTTATTTTTCGATGTTTGCAAATGTTGTATTTTCCCTTTAATGAATTATGAAGTGGGTCAAATAGTTTAGCGTCTATCGGAACGGATTATTTTATTGTCTGGCAGCAAATAATTAAAACTGGAAAATAATGGGGTCCATAACTTAACATAGACTGGGGTTTTGGGGTTGGTTTTTGGGGGTCTATGTCTCATTCAAAATTGAGTAACTGTTTGTATTGTTTGAAAATTTAGCAATTTAGAAAATGAATCTAATTTCGGAATGAAAGTTGAAAAAAAAAGACAATAATCATATTGCGGCCATCTTGATTTTTCCCACTCAAATCAACGTAACAAAAACGAGGCTGGCAGGGAAAATAGTCTGGTTCCTTTCTGCACAAAAAACATTATCATTCAGTACTGTTATTGGATACAGGGAGCATGACTGAAATGGTGGCAGCATGATAAAGGGAAACACAACTTTAAAGAGCGCCATCTCCTGCCCACGCAAATACAGTCCGTACCTGACTCCAATGCTACGAGTAGGACGCCCCCAGGCTCCAAGCGGCTGTACAGATAATCCAGCATTGAATCCATATCTGGCTCGTAGTAGAGACAGAACAAAGCGCTGATGAGGTGGAATTTGGTCTGGTCCCCAGACTGCTCGCTGGAGAGCCTGTACTGGGCCAGGGTCTCGGCATGCCAGTCGAAATCCACGCCACGGAGCGCCGACTGCTGCTGGATGTCCTTAACGCGGGCATTGTAGAGGTCAAGCTGGGTCACGCTGGGGTCGACAACAGTGTTGTGGATGGATCGATACGTGGTCAGGACACGCGAGATCAAGTTACATTCCACTTCGCCTACAAGGTCAAGACACAGGACATTCGAATTAAGGCGCGTGCCACTGAAAAAAGCAAGGCCATTGCTTCGTCATTTTGCTGCCCATACCAACCAGAAAAAATTATCTTAAATTCCTCATTTCAATTGGACCGACTATCGGTGGAGGACATGGGGGTGTGGGAAGGGGTTACGGGGTAGGTTTCCTGTAATTTTCAGGCAAATTTGCAGTGAATATGTTTAGTTCTGAATTCATATTCAGAGTGGAGTGATGTGGCCTCGTGGTTAAGGGCATCGGATTTGTGGTCTGCGGGTAATTCTGCAAGTTGTGGGTTGGAGTCCAGCCTGGGGTTATGGTGCATGTGCCCTTGGGCAAGGCACTTTGTCACTCATTGCTTCTCTCTACCCAGGAGTAAATATGGGTACCTGTGAGGGCAGAGATGGTTATACTGTGTCTGATTTAGCTTCCTTGCGCCTAACAGGCTGCATCGAGCTGTATACTCCCCAGGGAGCTGAGATGGTATTTGGAATGTTTCATGGGCTCAATGAGTAGGGGTAATAATGATGTAGCGCCTTGAGCACCAGTCCTGGTGGATACGTGCGCTTTATAAATAGCCACTTTTATTATATTTACTAGTTCTAAAGCCAATCTGTCGATTTATTATAGCTTTCATTATACTTGTGATGCCTATCCCTTCAAGCACCTGTCATCATAACTTCTTTTTTCAATACCACCCATTTTTATTTCAGTGTTCTCATTTACTGTTTTAATTTTTAATTTATATTGATTGGATTTTAATTTGAATTCATTGAAAATCTGGAATGCTTATCTTTTATGTTTTGTATATGTACTGTTAATTTTTTTTTGTAAACCGTCAGGTGTTGTTTTTAATCTAATGATAAACCTGAATTGACTTGAATTGAATTGAACAAGGCAGCATACAAGTTTTTGACATTCAGTAATCCTGTAGGTCTACGGAAATCAAATCTTTTCTACGTTTGAATTTTTGAACTCTAGGAAAATTAATCTTGATTAATAATAATTTGATTAATAGTATAGCATCATGACATGTCCGTCCCCACAGCATAACCAAAACAATGTAGATTACCTTCGCCACTTCCTACACCCAGGATCCGCAGTTGACCTCCCTCCGGCACGGCGACATCCAGCTTCTCCAGAATCCTCGTGCCCAGGTCATCCTTCACCCATATCTTGTAGTCGGCCAGCCAGCCGGACACGCCTTTGTCAAACTGCGCGATGCAGCGGAGATAGTGCTCGTAGTCGTTGCACAAGCTAACCAGAGAGGCGGATTGCGAATTGTCCTTCGTTATTTCCGCCATCATACTAGTGCAGTTCTATACACTCGTCCCCCTAGATCCTCTCCGCTGGCTGGCGCTGGCAGGCCCCACGTTCGATGGACTGACAACCAGGCAACAAAGCAAAAGTCAACAGACGGTCTTTAAACAAACAGCCGATATCCCCAACAAACGCTCGCAATCGATTTAAAGCAGAGTAAAATAATGATAATTCACAATCGGACAACCCTTTTTTTAATGTACCTTCTGTCTCGCGTGGAAGTTAATTAGCCGGAACTCTTGTCTACTACCGACGGCTGTAGGTGTTGACCACTACAACATCTACCGTCTATTTATCACAACAGCGTTGAGTCACTCACATTATACAGCCCTACCGTTGCAATATCATTGCTCCGTGAAGGCTACGCACGAAACGACTGACCTCTCCTTCTTATTATGGTCAGCGGTAATTTCAAGGGCGCAGGACAGTGTGGTACCGATATGCCTACCAAGTTTATGTACATGTACATGTACACGTTGTACATGTACAGCTACAACCCCTGTCAATGCACTTCCACTGAGACGCGGCACGCATTATACAATCCATAGTACGAGCGTCCTTGACCTGGGTTTATTATAAAATGCAGGGAACACTAGACATTTTTGGTAATATATATTAATTATTCACATCGTACACAAACCCATAAATATTATAATTCGCAGTTGAAGGTATCCACCTAGCTCGTGCGGGCTGCATAAGCCGTGAGGTCAATTGCAGGGGAATCGTCATGAAAACAAACCGTCAGTTCAGAATTGAAGGTTTTGGCCTGGGACGATTGGGCTGAATTGAAATCGTGGACAATGGAGGTACCTAGAAAAAGGTCAACGAGGGCAAGTGCCCGAGGACACGCCGCGATCACACTGAGCTTGCGCAGTGGACGGAGTACGCCACGCGCGGGGTGGACAACGAGAACACGGCGTGCACTACGTCTCCTCATTTAGGGCCAGGGGAATCAATCCCCCATAGGCTGGGTTTTATCAGAGCTGGGAGCTGGGGGATGGGTTATTGAATCACCCCCCCCCCCCCCCCCCCCCCACACACACACACACACACACAATTTTTCGTGATGAGAAAAAAATGTGGATTAGTTGAGGTATTCAACATCTCAACGTCAAATTAGGTTTTGCCCTTCAAAAAAAATTCCATCTTATAATAACGTCTCAACGACCAAAATGTATTGAATAGCACTGAAGAGTAGAGAAAACAAAGTACAAAAGCTTTTAAAATGCGCCTATGTTGATGTAAGCGCGAGTATACATAATTGATACATCTAAATCCTGAAGAGCGCCCCTTAGTGTAATTTGGTGAAAATTCCATCCAAAAATTATCACCCCTAAAAGTAGGCCTGAAGCTCATCGCCATTTTGAAAAGTGATGCCTGTAGTGCACTCTATTGAAAATTTGAGCAGTTCAATTTAGGGCTAATTGAATACTTTCATCCGAATTTCACAGAAATACGAGCTCGCAGTCCCGTTTTCGGCTACCTTGTTGTTTTTTTTACAAACCCTCTAGTTTACGACCCACAAAATGATAAGCCAAAAAGATGGGGGCGTGCAAATCGTGATGTGGCCGGCGTAGGCGACAATTTAGGGCCTAATTGGCCCGCAACCTTTAATCGAAGTGACGGAATCGCTCATGCAGACCTCCCTAGCTGCCACGCTGTCCAATGGCTCCAATGGCATAATATTATTATGGCGACCCCTTTAATTCACTGAGAAAGTGCATGTGACGTCACCTCCTCCCCAGTACTATGTCAGGCGCACTTCCTTGACAACTTGCATCTTTTCAATAGATGGGAAAAGGAGTACGGTACTATACGGACTGTGAGCCGCAGATATGCCAGAAATGACTGGCATGCCTGAGGATGACTTCAGTCGTCGACTACGGAATGTCACGGTTCAGGCAGCCTGAGAGAGTAATCGGCCAACATAATAGAAAATGAAAACACAGACAATCAAGAAACAAGGGACGTAAATCCCGGGTATATATCCCCCACACTTTTTTGTTTATTTTATTTTTTATTTTATATCTTCAGACAATAAATAAAAATCTATTATAAAAGAAAAGAAAGATTGTCCCGGTCTAGACAAAAGTTTGTAAAAAAACTGTCATCAAAGACCAGGGGAGGGGGATGGACTATTTTATCCCCCCCCCCCACTTTTTGGTGATGAGAAACATAAAATGCGGATTTCTAGGTATTTTTCGAACTTCCTAACATACATAATGACAAGCAATATGTATTCAATTGCACTGAAAAATTTAGCGACCAGTAATTTCTATTTTTGTCCGTGTAACTGCAGATGTATTGATTGGTATAAAGAAGATTGTCAGACCCTTCGAAAATGCCTAGCTTTAAATAATTTACAAGAGGGTGTGAGAGCCACGCCCCCTACCCGCCCCGCTCAAGGCCTTTGCGCCCACCAGAAATCGGACAAAAGTGAAGGATTTTTTTATTGTTTAAAACAAAAAATAATGGCCCCCATGCCTCCCCTGGCAATTTCACCACTGCTAGCTGCGACTAAACATGAAATAGAGGAGATCACTCGAATGAAGTTCATCAAAACAATGGACAAAGTCTGAGTCATTTTAAAATAGTTTACTTTACAATTTCGGGTGATGTTGCAGATGACGCTTCGACAGTGTTGTAGTCGAGTACTTTTTTCCGAGTACCGAGTACTGCCGAGTACTATACAGGCAGTAACTAATAGGCCTGAGACCTAATGACGTCACGCTTTGTTTACATGTGCGCTTTTCTATGTGGTAGACGGTCCCTACTTCGTCTAGCTTCCCGACTTCGCTCCCATAGGAAAGCGCATTATGTAACCAAAGCCGTTACGTCATTAGGTCTTAGGTCTATAGTGTGCGCTGCTTCTAGTTTTCTCTCTTCCTCATAAAAGTCTAAATGAATTAGAGATTATTTTCAATCTATGTTGTTCTTTAGGTTTAAGTGGGCTTCCCCACTGACCTCTTGCTGTGCGCCATCAGAGCTTTTAGCGCGTTAGATGGCTCCTCAATCTGCGAGTACTGGCATTTTATCAGGCGTCGCATCACTTTCTTGAACTGTGGATGCTTGGCTCCGTAGATGATCGGGTTGACGATGCTGTTGCAGAAGAACAAGAGGCCGCCGAAGAGCAAGAAGCGATCGTTGTTGGGGATGAAGAGCGCCACGCAGTAAGGAGTGATGCAGACGAAGAAGGCACAGACGGCCATGAAGAGATTCTTGGTGATCTGGAGCTGCTGGCGGTTGATGCGATCCATGTGGGCAGACTTGGCCGCAGTGGCATCCTCTACCACCACAAAGGAACTATTGGAGCTCGATGTGGCACCTGTGGGAGCGGTATCACTGATGCCAGAGTGCATGGCCTTCTGTTTCTTGAAGTGTCGCCGGACGTGCACGAAGATCATGATGTAGCTGGTCACGATGATGACGAGAGGGATCGGGTAGGAGACGATGGTCTGGATCATCTCGAAGGTCTTGGCCTTCGGGTGGGTGTCCAGGTCGCTGCAGGAGTGATGCTGCTCGTCATAGCCCCAGCCGCCGATGCCGAACAGGGGTGGCAGGGACATGGCGCAGATGGGGACAAGCCAGTTGACGGCCACGTTGATGACCAAGTTGCGCCTGGTGTAGATGCTACGATAGAGAGTCATGGGGTGCTTGATGAGGATCAGTCTATTCAGAGCGATTGAGGCCAAGTTGAAGAGACTGGCAGCGGAGCTGATGTAGAGAAGCAGGCCGGCTATCGAGCAGGGAACCTCGGTAGACCACGGCCACTCATCCCCGGCACTGAGCAACCCCACGCTGCTCATGGGTGCCGCTAGGCCGGCCAGCAGGTCCGCCACGCTGAGGCTGACCACGAAGACATTAGTTGACGTCCGGAGCTTCTTGCTGAACACCACGGCAAGGACGACCAGGCTGTTACCGGTGATGTTGGTCAGTGAGATCAGGAATATGAAGACGGCTACCACGACTCTGTCGGCGTAGGTTTGCAGGGAGGCGCTCATCGGGTCCTCGGTGCTCGGAAATACCGTCATGTTGTCCATGCTGGAAACTGCCGTTGTGTTTGAATGATCGATTGAAATGTTGCTCAAAAAACGAGCTGACGGACTGTTGTCAGCTAGCGTATAATTCACATCCATCGTGGTGATTGTGTGGTTCATTTTGGTAGAATTTTAGGATGATTCACCTTTGTGGGTACGGGTAGGCTTTCTTCCGTGTTCAAAGCGGACATCAACCTACAGATCGGAAAGAACAAATCGGAAATGCTCAAATAACAACAGGAAAACAATCACAGCAGCATTTGGAAATCACGAAAGCCCGTAATAGTGCCACCACTTTTTTCAAAAGCGATAATTTTTTTTCGAAAGCAATTATTTTTTTTACAAAAGAATTTTTTTTAAAATAGAAAATAGAATATTTCTGTTCCCCCTGCATGGGATGCCAGTCCATCGCAGGTTACTCCCCAGCTAATGCCCGTACCCATTTATACTCCTGGTCGGAGAGGGGCAAGTGGGGATGAAGTGGCTTGCCCATGGGCACAACATATGGCCAGCAGCTGGAATCGAACCCCTGTCCCTATGATCACGAGTCACGAACCCTAACCACTAGGCCATACTCCCCCAACGACTTTTGAAAAAAAAAACAAGATATACAAATCCTCAGTCTATGCACACAGTCAAGATACAAAGGCCGCGTTTCTGCATACGCATACAAAACATTAATATTAATGGTTAAATTTCATATAACTTAGTCACATAAACTCACCTCTACAGTACCTCTGATTGCCGCAAAGTTGTGTCACTGTATCTGACGAGACTGACAAAGGACCTTCTTTTATACCGTCAAGACAGCCTGAGCTCGTCAATACCGATTCTGGGAACACGGAAACGGGCGGAAACGAAAGCGCAACCAACAAAACCCCCGCGCAATGGCAACAGGCTGAACTTGACTCGCACGTGATCAATATGCTTCCGCCTTAGTTCCGTGTAGTGGGATTAGATTTAGATGCAACTTCCACCTCGAATTGCAAGCGAAAGTCACAATGACTCTTTCAAAACTTCTCATCCATTGTTCAATCACCATCGCACGTCCTTGTCTTTTTCCCTCTTTCATTGCGAAGATACTCATAATACTTAAAAGAGAAATACATGTTGTTGTTTTTTAAATCGATTTTGTTTTAATTGGGCGCATTGTTAATTTCCTCCACTCTGTAACGCGGGTGAAAATGACTAATAAATGGCATAAAAATGCGTATTTCGTTACTCTTTAAAATAATTCAATGCACACGTGAAATCATTCAGCATAATTTTTCAGTGTGAATTCCTTTCAAAGGGTTGGCGAGGAAAAAAGAGGGTTTGTCAAGACCGAATTATATTTGGTTTCTTGGAAGGTTTCACAAGTCCAACAGTAAACGGGAAATGTGTCACGTCAAATGAACTCTGCAAAGTACACAGGGGTTCCCAAACAAAATCAGCGATGACTCATTGGGAATGTTGCAATGGGAAAACCAAATATTTTGGTTCACTCCACGTCCAGTACATGTAGTAAAAAGGAAATCATCATCCGCAATACGTGGGCTATATACATCATCACCAGTAGATACTGCGCATGTCTTCTGCAGATTATTTTCCTGCTTTTTGTTTGATATTGTGTGATTGTCTGTGGTCTTGAATACGACTTCACAAAATACAAGTTTATGAACTTTTTCCTACTGGAGTCAAGGCTCCCGACCATTTTTATGTTGCCCTGGTAAATTACACGCGACATTTTGTAAGCCAATCAAGGAAGTACTGAAAGGTAATATACATTCGCAAACATCGAAACACAAAACTAGTTACATGTATTACGACATACCTAACTTAATAAGTGAACGATTATAGTCTCAAGCACCCTGTTAAATCATGGCAAGTACCTGGTGTGCTGTCATTTTCAAGAAAAGTGGATTTTTTAAAATCAAATTTCCACTGATGGACGGCCGACCATCGTTGGTAAAAAACAAAAACAAAATCGATTCGTAATCGTATTTCGAGTCCAAATATCACACTACACCGACACGACGCAACGGACATTAAACGCCTCCACCAGCTGTTGCTAAATGACGTCATTTCCCGGCCCCAGTCAACAACTATCCATGTTATTTGAGACCGGAAACTGAGTCAATCTAGCCGCAAGGTAAAATAGTGCGAAATGGGTTGGGAATACACATCATCATGTCTTCATCAATTCTGGCAAAGCTGGTCCCAGGACGCACAAAATTGTATCCAATCGATTCAGAATGACTATTCACTGGAAGTCTTTTCTCGCATCAGCGATCTACACTGAGGGGGCGCTGTGGTCCAATGGTTACGGTATTCGACTCGTGTGCCGTGGTACATGGGTTCGAATCCTGACTGTGGGAACATGGTGCTTGCGCTCTTGAGCATGGCACTTTACCATTATTGCTTCGTCCTTCGGATGGGACGTAAAGCCGTAGGTCCCGTGTGTTATGTAATGCACGTTAAAGAACCCAGTAACACTCGTCGCTAAGAGAAGGGGTTTGCCCCGGTGTTTCTGGCAGTGGCAGCAATATGCGCCGCAGCACCTAGCAAAAAGGTGCTACATAATGGGTCTCATATGTTCATATACTTCATTTACCCGTCTTTGGTTGCATTCTCCCCCAGCGCTTTGTATCCTCTGGCAAAAGGCACTATATAAATACAGTTATAATTATTATTATTACATAATGGGCCGGTTTTTGCCCATTCATTGGCGTTACAGGGTAATCATACACGATTGCACTGCCCGACTCACACGTGACAGTCAGTTAGTCAGTCAGTACGAGGACTGTTGGCTGGCTGTCTAGCTGCAGCAACCGATCAAAACATGGCGTTTTAAAACTCCATCATGTCTAACTTGCAACAGTTATCGATACTTCGAACTGAAAGATCCTTTAAAAAAATGCCATCAAAAATGCTGTAGTAATAATTATATGTTGAGAAACACATGAATTATGGTATATTGTTAATTGCAAACTGCAAATACACAACAGTGTAAATATGAACTGTTCGTGCGTTAATTCACCAGGTGAATCAACATACGGCATAATAATGATTCAACTAAAACAATATACACATTCTGTACCGTAAAGAGAGAGAACATGGTATCTGGAAAAAACAACACAATTAATTTTCAATTGTACCGTTTTGTTAGTCCAGCCGCTATTGCAGCAAAAAACAAACTGAGGCAGCAAAGTCAATAATTGGTAAATTAATGACACCCGTTTACTTTGCAGCTTTTTATTAAATGGTTAAGTCTTGAAAGTTTAATACCGAACCACACAACATAAAGTGACTTCAAAACATTTGATACAAAAAAGTAGCAAAAAGTAGCACCTGGGTTCGAGAAATGGATCTCTCCCGATCATCCTTGGGTGTCCTATTTGGATAAGAAAGTAAGTTCTTTGTGGCGTAAGCAAAAACTCCACGTGCTAGTTGAGTAAAAATGAGCATGTTTGGTAAAAAAATAAGCAATTTTTGAGGGTCTGACTTCTTTGGAAATCTGTAGAAATTTTGGAAGTGGGGGAATTCAATACAAACATCTTATTGAATGCTGGAGGGACCTTTTGCATTAAAGGAGACCTACAATTCTTAGGTTTATGATGATTTAGTCCAATGTGCATTAACGTCCAATTAATTTGCATCAAAAGGAAACATAACAAACATCCAAATTAAAATCCAATTCCATTGTTTTATTGCAATGCAAATTTTAACGGCAAAAATATTACAGAGGTAAAAATTAAGAACCATTCCACACTTCAAACTAATCATTCAACATTTTATATTTCCAGATGAAGTGCAACCGGCTTTTAAAATTATGTTGTTTGAATACATTTACAGCTCACCTTACGATAACATTCCTCTAACCGTATCAGGATGCACTGTGAATGCATAACCTAAATCACACACTTTGATAGGGCTATGCCTACACGAACATGTCTATTGCACTAGAGTATAATCTATTAAGTACATAACACCAAGTGTCAAACTCATTGTAATTGCAGCTCAATATTATCGCAGTATTCTTGCAGCATGGACGTATTCACCGTCTTCTGAAGCATGAAGGCACTGGATACTAGAGAATTTACTTCAGATATTTCTGTCACTGCTTCTGAAATATCAACTTCTGGTCTACTTGGTATCTTGTTTCTTGTATCACCTCGAACTAATACATGTAATAGTACATATGTGGCCAAAAAAATTCCCCCCCCCCCAAAAAAAAAATTAAACAAATTATTCTCTGCAATTTTTCAGCATGAAAAAATATCTCAAACAATTGGTTCCACTCAAAATGTGCAGGAAAAATAACAATAATGCATATTTATAAAGTGCACGTATCCACCAGTATTGGTGCTCAAGGTGCTACATCATTATTACCCTGCTCATGGGCCAATGAAACATTCCAAAGACAATCTCAGCTCCCTGGGGAGTATACAGCTCCATGCTGCTAGTTCGACGCAAGCAGCTAAAATCAATCACAATAACCATTTCTGCCCTCACAGGTACCCAATTTATACTCCTGGGTGGGGAGAAGCAATGAGTGACATAGCTTCTCTTTCAGGCCTGAACACTGCTTTACTTTCACCAACCTTTGCCACTTTTCCATTATAAGATGGGTTCCGTTCCATTCCAGTTTACTATGGCGTCTGGTCAGGCCTGATCACTGCTTTACTTTCACCAACCTTTGCCAGTTTTCCATTATAAGATGGGTTCCGTTCCATTCCAGTTCACTATGGCGTCTGGTCGGGCCTGATCACTGCTTTACTTTCACCAACCTTTGCCACTTTTCCATTATAAGATGGGTTCCGTTCCATTCCAGTTCACTATGGCATCTGGCCACCTAGATGCAAAAAGGTACTTTGTTAGTGAGGCATTGGTGAAAGGATCTCTTGGTGAGGATGGGCGGGGCTAAAGAAGTGAAGGAGGGACACTTAAGGGGGCAAACTGATCATGAGCTGGAGCAGACATGACAATGTTTGATACATTTTACAGAGCAGGATTATGCGAGGACAAAACGTTCAAATGGAGGAGAACATCAGACAAATGATGCTTTTTGAACCCATATTAAATGCTTTGCCTTTAGTGTTTCGTTTGATGATCTGTTAGTTTAATATAGTTCAAAGCTATATGGTTCAGATATTTTCTTACTTGGTACGGATGCAGTGCTCTAGCGGCGGGACTAAATCATCCTCGTGGTTTTCAGGGCCATTCTGGGTTGTGTCTGAATAGAAGAAAATTCAACATACATATAGTTTATGAAGGTCAGGATGTAAAGATGCTTGCTGACTGATATTTATTTTTAATACAATATATTATATCTTATAAATGTCCTTACTCTCTGCTGACAAGCTGAACTGCGAAGGACGCAACTACAGCATGGTCCAGCCGAAGGCATGTAAAGGCGCCTTAGGCAGCCGATATAGGACCCATGTCTGAACACGAAGCACAGCCAGAGATCGAAAGTGTTGATTTTTGTGGAGGGAGGAAAATCGGAGAGCCCGGAGAACAACCCTCTTGGTACAGGAGAGAATCAACGAACAACTCTACTCACGTATGGTCTGAGCCGGGAATCGAACCCAGGCCACAGTGGTGAGAGGCGAGCACTTAAAGTACTAGCCACCCATGTCAAATTCAAACACACAAGTTGAGAGCATGCATAACAAGTCTTACCAATACTCAATCTGATTTCATCTTGTTGCCTGGACAGACCGTCGTAGTAGTACAAGTCAAAGCGACGCTCTACTTTCCAGTCACTCAGTAGTTCCTTCTTGAGGCAGAATAAGACGCTGAAGTGACTCTCGCTACAGATGACCCAGATGGGATAGCGAGGCGTCTTGAAGTTGCTACCAACCTGAGATACATAAGATAAGTTGGCAAGTTACTTGTCAAAATTGTTAACATGAATATTCCTTTGTCATTGTCCATACCCTATTTCTTGTGACTGAGTTGCGATAGACTTATGATATGACATTCGATGGACTTGTCTGCAACCCTGCTAATTTCTTTACGTACCTTGCAGGACTCGTAATGTTCAAACAGCGACAACAGCCCGACATCGCTGCGACTGTTGACACCCTTGAGGACCATTGTGTCCTCAGCCCCCGAGTCTAGCTCCATGATATCATTGAAGACGTTGGAGACTGCCCGGCCGGTCAGAAGCAGGTTGACCATATCCTGAATGTCACGAAAAGATACAAAATTTATAATGGCTAGAAAGTTGAGCAGTGATCAGAAAGTTGAGCAAAGAAATGACTGGAGCGGTGAACCTGTGACATCCGGAACCGTACAGATGTCTAGCCTGGGGTTATGGTGCGTGTGCCCTTGGGCAAGGAACTTTGTCACTCATTGCTTCTCCCCACCCAGGAGTAAATGGGCACCTGTGAGGGCAGAGATGGTTATTGTGATTGATTTTAGCTGCTTGGTGACGAGATGGCTGCACCGAGCTGTATACTCTCCAGGGAGCTGAGATGGTCTTTAGAATGCTTCATTGGCCCAATGAGCCGGGAAATAACTCAGTGCCGTGATCGACAGAATTGGTGGATACCTGCATTTTAATATAACAGATGCCCATTATTTATTATTATGGTTTATTGGCTGACAATGTACCTGTGTGCAATAGCCATGTGCTCCCATCAACCTGTTGGTAGGCTCGTCCATATCCTCTATCACTCTGTAGAAAAAAAATGATCATAAATATCCCAATTTACTTTGTGTTAGGAATTAGTTGTAATGGACAGCGTTTGTATCCTGTCAGTGTGCCAGTAATGAGGACCTCTTTTCTTTTCTTTTGGCAGTACAAACGGACGACAATCCAAGGTTATTGATGTTCGTTAAAAGTGCTGTAATTAAAAGATTACATTTTTACATTGGTGAGTTTTCGGATTAAAAAGTTGGTAAACTGCTTCAATAAAACATGACATTCGCATGTATACTGTTTGATCTCATAAAATGGCAATGTTATGTCCATGTCCCTCACTAAATAAAAAATATGGCCGACTTCATAATTAGTTTGATGGCTAAAGGCTGGCTCATACTCGACGCAAAAAAAAAGATTTTGTGACATAACGGCACATGTTTGCGCTGCAAATTTGCAAAAGTTGAGCACATTTCAACTTGAGCAGATTTCACTGTGACTGTTTTATGACGACAAATTTGTTTCGTGTTCGCATTCGTGTGAGTGTATGAACCAGCCTTAATTTACGAAATATTTGACTTACTTGTCCACTGTTCTTGACTGTATGGCTGAGTACAGCACCAGTATGCAGCCACTCGAGGTGCTGGATTCAAACACGCCGATGTGTCCCAAGACAAACTCCAACAGTTCCTCTCGCTTCTTGAAATGATTCAAGACCAACTGCAAATGAAACGTCAGTCAATAATCAACTGGAATAATAATCATCTTCTGTAGAATTGCTGTACTTGTTGATCCCTTAACACACCACAGAACTGACAATTCTAAATTGTTGATACTCACCCTCTCTGTCAGGTTATCGGTCTTATATCGTCCGGATGATGTAAACTGAGCTCTGGAGGATGGTCTAAGGCAGAAAAAGAAAAAGAGACTTGTGACTGACTTGTGATGACCTGTGACTGACTTGGGATAACTTGTGATTGGAATGTAACATTGACATGTCATTGACTCGTGGTGATCTGCAATGACTTGTGGTGACTTGTGACTGACTAATGAGTCGTCTTGATAACTTCTGATTGATTTGTTATGCCTTGTGATTGACTTATGATGACTTGTGTTGACTTATGATGACTTGTGACTGACTTGTGATGACCTGTGATAGCTTATGATTGCCTTGGGTTGAGTTGTGGTGACCCGTGATGCCTTGCAATTGGTTTGAGATGATATGTGAAGACTTGCGTTGACTTGTCTTGACTTGAGATGACTTATGGTTGAATTGTGATAACTTTTAGTGACTTGTGATGACTTGTGACAGACTCGATCACACTCTAAAAGGTGGTATTTCATTCAACTGAAAATTGAAACCAGCTTACATAGCTATCACTGCATGTTTCTTCTCCCCTGCCCTCCACACAATGTCACAGATAGCTTGGGCCAGGCACTCACTCCGTGTCTGACTGGAAGGCTGGAGGCTTGATACCGTGGAGATCTTGCCCTCGCCGAAGAGTAGATGACGTAGCATACAGGCCTGGATGGAGGCGAGTACACCGCATGGGCCACCCTAGAGTAAAGGAAAGTATCGAAGAATGAGTCTGGGGCTGTGCATTTTTCGATAATTTAGTATTTGATCATTCTAACTTGGACTGGATCAAACATTCAAAATGCGCTAACTTGCCACGATTCTCAATTCTGAAATGGTGTAATAAAAACTAAACATAAGTTTTGTGGGCTGAATTGGCAGAACTGACCTTGTGTTGCACGATGCCAAACTCCAGCCTATTGATGTCACTGAATCCTAGACTCTGCATTCTCCACTCCTCATTGAACGCACCGGATGCTGAACCAAACAGGACATTCTTCAACTCCTGAAAACAAAAGCAGGGTGGGAAGTTATATTTTGTTCCATCCAACTGCACAGAATAGGAGCATTCCACAATACAGGCGGCAATTTAGAGGTTACCGTAAGAGAGCATTTTTTTCTAGCATGTAATGAGGGAAAGTTACCATCTGCACTCCTAACAGTATTCTTCATGCGTTACTATTCAGCAGTGTATACAGAATTAAAACACACGGCCTAAACTACAGGAAATAACTAGATTTAGATTTAAACATTCTTCAAAAGTAATGACTTCATATTCCTCAGTTACTTCATGCTATCAAAGATGACACTGTTCTATCACATTCCTTGAGCTATCGCAACTTGTCATCACTTTCCTGTACTATAGCTTGTCCTAAAAGAACAATGCATTGATTATCCTTCTAACAAAGGATTCTTGGTAATATTGTGGATTATTGATGAAATTTGCTCATCACCAAAAAAAAAAAAAAAAATTATAAATGCTATCAGCTTGCACTCTTACTGTTTTATTAACAAGAAAATGTCCAAGTTACATGCGTAAACAATGAACTCTTACTATTGCCTGTTCTTGTGTGATTGGCCGTGCGTCAGCAGCCTTGACAGACTTTCTAGTGGCCGGCTTGAGCTGCAGATTGCCAAGGTCATCATCCAGGTCATCTATGTCCCCCAGCTCTACGTCACCTAGGGCCTGCTTAACAGGTGCTGGTCTCCTAACAAACAGTAATTGTCAAGGACAAGCAGGTGGTAATTTATTAATTGCTGTAAATTATGAAATACCTTATTAACTGATTTGTCACTGTACCCCTCAAACATGCCCTGCCTATTAAATCAATCTGCTTCATCTGTGTGTCTGAGAGATGTATTATCAGAGTAATATTAAGAATTGAACAACACCCACCCTTTGTCCTCCAGTTTCCCCTTCGTCGATGCCCCTCTACTCCTTCCTGAATCAGCCTTGTTCCTCCCCGTCGAGGAATCACTCCTGTCTCTCATGAGCTCATCACCAAGCCCCATCTCCGTGTCTGTCACGGGCCGCCTGGTTCGTGACTCCGGCCTCCGTTGCGACGACTCTGAAGAAGCTTTTGTCGCAGAATCTTCCGAGTTAGTCTTGGGTCGAGAGTCAAACGTGAACCCAAGGTCCTTGAGCCTGTCCCGATTCGATGGGGATGATACTTCAGGCTTCGTTTTGTCTTCTAGGCTGGGGTCAAATGAGGAGGTTGTGAGGCCAGTCCTGGTTGGTGTGGACTTATGGGTTGGTTTCTTTCTGCTGTGACTCTGTGTTACAAAAAAAGGTCAGATATTACTTACAATTCTGATCCACAAGAGAGTATTCGAGAATATTTGAGAAGATTCTCAAACAGATCGACTCTTAATTAACCTTAAAATGGAAAGATATCTTCAGAATTATAACCAATTAATAAGACCCCTAGGGAGTATGCACGTTGTTGCTGCCATTTCGAAACAAACCACGTAATATAAATCACGGCTACCATCTTTACCCTAACAGGTACACACATAGCTCAACAGCAGGCTGGACTCGAACCCACAACCTGCAGAATTACCAACAGATGATGAGTTCAATGTTATAGACCACTCCAAAAAATATGAAAAGATTTCACTTACATCAAGACTGCTTGTGATAGGACCGCCTAATCCACGACTCCGAGAGGCACTACCTGGTCGCGTGCCACTCCTCTTAGGTAAGATGTCTTCCTTCGAGTCAATCCCGCTGCTGCCACCGTTTCTTTGAGTGTACGGTTTGCCAACCAGCCTCTCCTCAGCTGGTTCCAGGTAGTTCTCAGGCTCCTTGACGTTGGGTCGTTCCCTGATCGTGATGACGGGAGTCGCTCCCCGATTCAGTCCGTAGGTGCCTCCTACATCTTCCTGTGGTAGACCCGCCCCATATTCTGAGGATAGAACAAAAACGTGCATCATTTCAGTGACAAATCACATGTGACCGGATCTCACAAAATGAGCCCAAAATTTGTTTTTTCTTTTTCTTTCTTTATCATACAGCCAAGAAAGTGCTAGATTGCATTCCATTGTTCTACAACAGACAGACATTTGTGCTTGCATGTCGCACATGGCTGTGACTGATCAAACATCATGGAAGGGACCTTAAAGAATATGTCTATTAACACCAGATTCTTTTTTCAAGAACAGTTTGATTGAAGGACCACCTACCCAAGTCAGTTGTTTCATACACAGGTGGCTTGTTGGAAGTCTTAGCTGAAGTATTTCTTTTACTCCCCCTGTGTTTGTGACCACTGCTGCTACTGTTATTATTCAGTCCATGTTGAGTTCTGTCAGTGGAGCCGTCGGCATCTTTACCACTAGAGGGTGCACTGTCCCTTGCCTTGGACGAGGAGACATTGGAGGATGAATTCTGTTGTCCGTGGAGGGGAACAGTCTCAGGTTTGGCACAGGAGAACAACGCCTTTTCCAAGAAGTATTTGGTGATGATTTCGATCATGGATCGCAATGGCTCTTCCTGCTCCTGTACAGAAAAACAAAATCTCCACATTAATATACCAAAGATATGTGTTTGATTTGTCAAAGGGTCTATGGAACACATTTACATCAATACTTGTATTATTCTCAGAAGGAAATCCTAAAGACTAGCGCGATATGTTCATATTTTGCTTTCTTCTAATTTAAATTACAACTCATGCGAATCATACTTTATTTTTCTTGAGGAGTTTCTCGATGTGGACTTCTCGGGCCAGTTGGACTCTGTTGCTGATGCTACTTTCAGTTCTCGGTAACTCTTGGTCCATGGATTGAAGGCTAGATTTTAGCCCCTGGAAAAAGGAAAGATGTAGTCTAGTTTAACAACAAAAATGAAATGGAAAATAAAAGCAAAACAAAACCAAAACGGACATATTGCTGTTATAAATATGTCACATTCACCATAGCGATTGGCAGTGGATATTTGACCGTGAACCGGTGCCTGATTATTTTCGCTCTGTTAGCTTTACCGACACGGCAATGAACATGCACAGTGACTGATTTTTGGGACTTCAATCAAGATTGTTTTCAATGGGAATTGGTAGGATCCGCCACGGTACGTGTACAATCTGATGTGGCAAGTGTTTTTACACAACTCTGGACATGCTGGAGCGTGGCAGCTTTTATTGACGCCACATTTACCGGGTCTATTTTTTCCGTCTATTAAACGACAATAATATGTAGCAGGCCTAGCATGCCTAGGGGCCCTACTAAAATAATTGCAAAATTCATGAACATTTTTCAAGTTTAAATTTTTCTTTAATTAACTTGTTGATGTCAATGTTATTCCCTTTAGCCTACAATGTTGGTTACATTTACTGTGCATTGATACAAATACATTAGTACAAACTACTCCAGAACTATGAGGCTCCACGTAGTGGAGCCTGACAACCCGAGAGGTCTTGTCCGGAAACTGGACAGACAGACATTTCATTTCCGCAACACAAACGCTGATCAGCCTGATGGTTTGGTTTTTTTTACCTTTCTACTCAAGTATTCCCTTACGAGAGATGCTGCCACATTCTCGATGTGCTCCCTGTCCAGCATCTTGATGGCTATTCACATAATTTGCTGGGAATGAAATGGTTTTAGAGTTGGGAACGTCGTCACGCGTAGAAACAGGATTTGTTTACTGAACGTGCGGCGCCATCTTGAAAGTCAGGAATCGATACCAGCAGGCCGGATCGCGGAAGCGCCGTTCAAAAGAGAACCAAAAGAATCGATTATTAATATTAATTAAAATTTTAAAAAACAAAAAATTAACTTTTTTAATTGCAGGTTCCATGTATATAATCTTGCACTGAACAAACTAACTGATTGACTTCGGTACATTTTTGAAAATTCACAAAAATCATACATTGCGGCGTATAAAACTGCGGGTTCCAACTCACTACACAGGGGCGCCCGCGACAATTGCGGTAGGGTCATTTTCTCATTTTTGCTTCCGTTTCGGACAGTGGCGTAGCCACGGGGGGGGGGGGGGGGGGGGGGGTGGGGGGCGACGGCTAAAATGAAACCCATGAAACCTTGTCGCCCCCAGTCGCCCCCACTGAGATTTTGAGTTTCTAAAAAAATTATCATTGATCTACATGACGCCCCCCCCCCATGAAATGTTCAAGCCCCCCCCCCCCCGCGGCCCCCCCCCCCCCGAAACCAATTATCTTTGTTTTTATGTGACATTGCAATTAAGGCAGGCAATGAGTACACCACCATCTTTTCCTCAAAAAAAATTGGTTAAAGTGGTCAGAAATTGCCTCAGATCGCACCACAGAGCATCTAGAATCCAAAAATTGTTCGGGGCCCTTCAGCGGGCCCCGAACCCCACGCCGTAATTTTTTGGACCCACTTTTTGGGGGGACCAAAATTTTTTTTTGGAGGCCTAAGTGTCTGGAAAAAATAACCGGTCAACATTTCAGCACGCTTCCCTGAAAAAATATTCTGGATTCACCGTGCTAGCCCCCCCCCCCAAAAAAAAAAATATTGGCTCTAGAACCGCGCCTGGGTTCACATCTCCAATCCCCCTCCGATACGCCACTGAAATAAAGGGCCAAGCTCAAAGACAAACGAACTAAAGTTTGAATATCTTCATCGTGGGGCCTTTCAGGCTCGCACCGCACTTTCTTTATATTTTGTTTTGCATTTTCAAAACATAACTATGCGTCGCTCAATAAATTGAAGTAATTTTTTGCTACCGAAGAGGAAACAACAGTAGCTCTTTAGGCCTGCAGGCCTACCGTAAACATCCGGGTATGGCACGCGGCTAGACACGTTTACAATCTCGTCACGGATATGTGACTTCAGTACAGTATACCTGGAAACCAACAAAGCGAAACCAATATACCAGATTTATTTTTAGCCAACTGGAAAGTTTCTCTTTATACAAAAGTGACCGGCACGGGCTGTTGAGCTCATCGACATCATTTTGACCCAATGAGTGCCGCAAACAAACTAGCTTGGCACTTCAATATTGAGTACCTCATACGTAACAACGCAACACGTCTGGAAATAACACTTGCATCGCCCGTAAGCTTGGTAAGTTTATAAACGAATTGTGGACAGGGAGAATGAATTCGCATTCACCCATCTGTGTGCTACATGGCACGATATGAATAATTGCAATTATAAATAGTTAAAAAAAAAAGTGTTCAGACTGAGTATAATGTTTGGCCTTGCATGCGTGCGAAGTCTGGATTTAAAAATGCAAGCGCATAAGCAGTGCGTAGGTTTTCGTTTTCGTGATGCGACAAAATAACCATCTCCATTGTAAAGTCTTTTGGTTAAAACTGTTTTCTCCTACAAATTAATCGTTGTCCCTCATTACAGGGCAAGTCTTTGTTGTCATTAAAGTGACGATGTCCATGAAAGATGAGGCATTCTGTCAATAGTGACTGCATTTTTTTTCTTTTTCAAAGTTTAACAAAGAAATTGATTGGAACGGGCTATAACCTTTTTTCAAAATCTCTTGCTTTACAGAATGAAGAGACGACCCAACGTGGTAAACTCACTATCCAAGAACAATCGAAGCATTTTATCCACTGTGAAATCCTCAAGAATCCAAACCTACGACGGCTGAACAAGATCATCCTGCACTACCGATTGAGATGGATCTGGATATCTTGACCACACCCTCCTTGCCTCCAACCTGGGAAGATGAGAACGCGACTGGCTGGATCAGCACCCAGCAAACGATGCTATCTCTCTACAGCTACCCAGAACGCGTCGTGATAGCCTCCTTCTTCATTCTCATATCAGTCCTGACCATCTCCGGTAACATCACGGTCATCTTAGCCGTGGTGTTCAGTAAGAAACTCCGCACTTCCACCAACGTCTTCGTGGTGAGCCTTGCCGTGGCTGACCTGCTAACTGGCGTGGGGATACCCATGAGCGCGGTTGCTCTGCTCAGCCCTGGTGACACCTGGCCTTTCGCCACCGAAGCCCCGTGCTTCGTCGGCGCTCTGTTGCTCTACATCAGCGTTGGGGCCAGCGTGCTCCACCTCGCGAGCATCGCCCTGAACAGAGCCGTGCTCATCAAGCGGCCCATGACCACGTACCGCTGGCTCTACACCAGGCGCAATCTTGCCATCATGGTCGTAATCATTTGGGCCATTGCGATCCTGGTAATGCTTCTCCCACCTCTCTTTGATGTGGGAGGGTTCGGCCTCGACATGCAGTTCCGCAGCTGCAGCGACCTCCAGACTCATCCCCGTGGCATGACCTTTGACCAAATTCAGACCTTTACTTTCTATCTCGTTCCTACGATTGTCGTCTTAGCCTGCTATGCCATCATCTTCGTTCACGTTCGGCGCCATTTCAAATCCCTGAAGGCCCATGGTCAGGAGCCAATGGCAGAGACTGCCTCATCTTCTACCGGTAAAGCTCACTTGGAGATAACAACAGCCACCCAGGATTCTACCCACCGACATCGGATTAGCCGACAGCAGCTCCAGATCACCAAGAATCTCTTCACGGCCGTGTGCGTGTTTTTCTGTTGCATCACGCCTTTCTTCTTGACCAATCTCTTGACCACCATGCACCGCTTCTTGAACTACGCTGCCATCATCCTTCTCTGCAACAGTTGCGCCAACCCCATCATCTACGGAGCCAAGCATCCACAGTTCAAGAAGGTGATGCGTCGTATGATTATGTGCCAATACTCGCAAATCGAAGAGCCGTCTGACACGCTGAAGGCTCTGATGGCTTGTTTCAAAAAGCAGTAGCAAAAAAATCAAGTTTAACGAGGCTTTCTGTACCGCAAACTTGAAGGAAGCTAGTGAGCCTAAAATTTCAGATGCAAAAACTCAGAATTGGAAACATATCAACAGAGGCTCATTTTAAAACAAACCGATAATATTGTAGAAGATTTAAACTAAAAGGAACAATAACGTTTTCCGCAAAAAAAATCATTTATTGCCCTTTAAAAACAAGATATAATCGGAGATTACGGAATCAAAGCACTGTATAGACTATAGGAAAATGTTTCCGTGCAGTAACAAGATGATATGTAAAAACAGATTCTTTCTTTGTATGATGTCCGATACACAGGGAAATGATATACTATGCCTATATAGAATGGAAAATGGTTTAATGTTTATTGAGTTGAAAGTGTTATGAAATAAGCAGTATCCGTGTATATTATGCGCTTAGGTAAATATATTGAATGTTTGGCTTATAAACTATATTGGGAATTCACAATGTTTGCCTTTTAACATGTGATTAAAATAATGCATGTAATTTATATTGTATTTTTGTGAGCGTTACAACATTTAAGCTTTAAACATTTTAATAACAGTACTAAAACATAAATATTTTGAATGTTCAAGATATTTAAGTTGACCGCCCGTCCCATAGGTCTATACGTTCGAAGCCAGAGTCGATGATGGAGGGACAGGGAACTATGGTGTCTTGGCTGGAGTGACGTAACTCTTCGAGACGTCAGATCAGAATAAACACGTGATTTTCAAAGTTGCGGTGGGGCAGCCACACCATCTTATTAATTACTATCACACTTAAACAAAAATTAAGTAAAATTTGCAAAGAGGAAATAATTTTGTGAGGGGGTAAATGGATACAATGATATTTTCATTTAACTTTAAGCAAGTCATACATGGTGAAAATATAATCTTCATATACATAATGCAAGTCCATAGCTTCTTATAAAAGACATAGGATCATTTGCATTTCATGCGTTTTGTTTCTTTTCAATGACAACACCACTGAAAATTAATAACCCGTTGAAGTTTCAGCTCAGTGGATTATATTACACCTTTCGAGAAAAAAAAACCAGTTAAAAAAACACGTACAACCGTTTGATCACGACTCGGAGACACGATTTCGTCTACAGCACTCTTTTCATTCAGTCATTACTGATCGTTAAAAATCACCTACATTTTTTGATTTCTTCTTAATGACGGCAAACCAGACGGAATAATTTCACGGGGTGTTTAGTACCATGAATACGATCTTTAATCCAAGTAAGCTTTTTTGGTAATAATTTGATAGGTTACTTTGGGGATAAATGCAAAATGATCCTCGTCATGTGCCTTTCAAGCGTTAGCCAATTAAAAATCAAGTTGTCGTTCCGTGTTCTACCATTGACGCCGAGGTTGAAATGAGGCAAACCAGGGTAAGATTCTCTGTATGCCTATTTCAACAATTCTATCTCAACTAATTTGCAAACACTGTCGCTCGTTATACTGGCTTCATAGCAAATATATTCCTGGGGTATTTTGCGCATGCTCACAACAAGGGTGTATATAACGAAATAGGCTCAGTCCATATTCGAACTTTGCCATTTGCGTGCAACACTATATAGTCTACCAACTACCTACCGGTACAACGAGAAAAACGATTTTCAATAGTCAAGAACAACCCGGATGCATTGCCGTCAATTATTCACCCAACATCCGCGTTGAATACCTGGAATAACAGCTTCACTCCGATAATCCCATATTGATCGGCTAACTGCTGTGTATTTTTCAACCTTGACTTCTTTCTAAACGGTGAAAATGGCGTAGGAATGCATGGTGAGTTGTACCTTTTTGGCAGGCCTAGAACATCGGTTACCTGTCCTCCAAATAGTGGTATCTGTCAAGAGAAGATAAACAATTTGTGAGTACCAATGCCAAAGAGTCATTGTGCCTCTTTTCGAGCTCCATTCCGGTCTTTATGAGGACGGGGAATCTAGATGTCCTGACTGGAACTTACCAGTTAAAATCTTCCATTTGCTCATATATAGATATAAGTGCTTCATCACACCTTAGTTTCGAAAAGTGACGTAAGGCCTGATAAAGTACAATAAACGATTACTCTTCCAGGAAGATTTACCGATGGACGACAATGCCTTGGTTTGTCCTTCCGTCCTTCCGCATATTTTTGCCCAGAGTGTCATTGTACTAACACATGTTTTCCCCCATTATACCAGATCACATCGCAAAGCGAACAGCACCTCTGCAGGATTACGGATTGAGCGAGTTGCAGATTTCTCAGTTCCTCATGAACTTTCCAAGAGCTGGCGTGAAAACAAATAGTCTGCTTTTTTGTGTGTAATAACTGCAAGTTTTTCTGAAGGTTTACCAAAGATTTCTTGGCAAACTAGTAATATCATAAACGATTGTCAGAATGGATCTACCTATCCCCTCGGCTACCGACGTCTTGAACAGCACAACACCAGAGACGATGATCTCCTTGTACACCTACCCTGAGAGAGTAGTGGTGGCCGTCTTCTTCATTCTCATTTCCATCTTTGATGTCGTTGGGAACAGCGTGGTCATCCTTGCCGTGGTGTTCAGCAAGAAGCTCCGGACTTCTACCAACGTCTTCGTGGTCAGCCTCAGCGTGGCTGACTTCATAGCCGGCCTGTCGTTACCCATGAGCGTGGTGGCTCTGCTGAGCCCCGGTGACACCTGGCCCTTCGACACTGAAGCCCCGTGCTTCGTCGGCGGCCTATTTCTCTTCATCAGCTCCGGTTCCAGTCTGCTCAATCTCGCCTGCATCGCCCTGAACAGAGCCGTGCTCATCAAGCGACCAATGACCACGTATCTCTGGTTGTACACCAATCGTAACATCGCCGTTATGGTGGCTACCGTTTGGGCAGTTGCCATCTTTGGTATCCTGATCCCGCCCTTGGCAGGCGTTGGAGGTTTTGGTTTGGACAGGGAACACCGCACCTGCAGTGATCTCCAAAATCTTCCTGGTGGGATGACCTTTGACCTGATTCAAACCATCACCTTCTACGTCGTCCCTCTAATGGTAATCTTGACCTGTTACGTCATCATCTTCGTCCACGTGCGTCATCATTTCAAAACCCAAAAGGCGCGAAGCCAAGAGAACACGGCAGATGTGGACGCAACCGCGGCCTCGTCCAGCGAGAAAGCCAAAGACCACACGCTGGATCCAACAGCTGCTAAGGCGGCGGACGCCCGCCGGCACCGGATCAGCCGCCAGCAGCTTCAGATCACCGTCAATCTCTTCACGGCATTCTGCGCGTTTCTCGTCTGCGTGTCCCCGTATTGCGTCACCATGGTCGTCACGACCAACGACCGTTTCCGTCTCTTCAGCGCGGTACTCTTCCTCTGCAACAGCTGGGTCAATCCAATCATCTACGGAGCCAAGCACCCGCAGTTGAAGAACGTGATGCGCCGTTTGCTGCGATGCCAGTACTCGCAGATAGAAGAGCCGTCGGACACGCTGAAAGCTCTCATGGCTTGCAAGAAACAGCAGTCTAATGGATGAAGCCAGCCCGGCTCTATGGAAACAGTGGTCAGTTTTGAACTCTTATTATAATAAATCCATGCGCAGTACGGAATGGTTGGTCTTTGAATATTATACAGCGCCAATTTGTAAATTTTCGTATATGAGAGAAAACAGAATGTAACACAAAAATCATATTTAGTATCTTTTATTCAACTTAGAGCATGAGTGCAGTTTTAACATAATAATTGATATCATATTCTCATTTGTTTTTAATGAATCACTGAGGAAATGTGACATATTTAAAAGGTGAATAGTCTGGATCCAACTGCAGTATGTTTACGTGTGTATTATACGATAAGTGAACACTGTACATCATCTTTTCATACTGGCTTCTTGATTTCAGTCAAAAACATCGAAAACCGTGAACAGGAGCTTAACTGTCATTCAGGGTTTGCTCTCTGCGCGTACGTATAGCCTAACGATACATCAAAGTTCCTTTGTTTTAACTTTAATTTTATAAATTCTAAGGGTTCCAGGTCGAGCAGATATGTCGAATGATGCAATTTTTAATCATAGTGTAAACATTCCGCCTCTGTGTGTTGTTTCTTAAAAAAGCACGCAGGCCTTGCATTTCTGGGTCCTGTTGTGTTTAGCGTCTAGCGTCTAGCTTCTATTTAAACACTTTACATTGTTTACATCATTATGTAAAAATGGGCAAATGAAAGAAGTCCTGAGCCTTTAGTTATGTAACCTAGCCTTAATACGGGATGTAACACAATTCTACAATAATATTATTGTTAATCGTAATACAGCTCGCACCAAGGCTATACCAACACAAATCCTGCTCGTAGACAATTATATATACCGGATTCTCCTACTAAAAGTGCACCATATTTCAATAGGGGGCGCTGTTCAAATTCGAAGATTTTTAACACTAGATTACAGAATGGTGCACCGTATTTTAAACAGGCAGACATTATACCAGTATAATCATCACCAGAGGGGGGGGGGGGGGTTCGACTTATTTTTTAGGAATTTGTATGAAAAAAAAAAATTGACAGAGCTGAGGGGGGGTTGACCCCCCCCCCCCCTCTCGATCCGCGCTTAACTTCTGATATAAAAGTACCATGGTGTTGTCTTACAAACTCGGAACAACAAACCATTAAACCGATATTCTATGAAAGGCATTAGCCTATAGGATCATTTGTATTTATCTCTAAAGTAAAGTACCGAATTATTATCAGAAGCTTACTTGGATTAAAGAAAGTACTGGATAACACGCCGTGATTTTGTCCGTCTGGCTTGCTGTCATTTAGAACAAATCATCATGTCGGTGATTTTCAACGACCAGTCCATTGACTGAATTTTTGGAAATTATAATTGACGAAATCGTGTTTAGTGGTCCAAACTCGTGCATGGTTTTCCATTGTTTTCTCGAAAAGTGTTTATTTCCACTGAGATGAAACTTCAACATGTTAGGTTTTGAACATTCTTCTTTGGATTTGAGTGGTGTTATTATTGGAAACCAAACAAAATGCATGAAAAGCAAAAGATCCTATACATATGCCATTAAGTGAAGCGCAGTGTGCCAGACGGCATATAGGCGATAGAACCTTTGCACTAAAATTTGATTGTTTAAATAAGCTCATTTAATTTCCTTTTTAATCGTAGATTTAATGTATTACAATGCAAAGAAATATTATTTAAAGTACGCAGGTGGGGGGTTTTTTTTGCGGTTTTTTTTTTGCTGGTACTTTTCTGTTTTTACGAACATCCCGCATGCGGATATTCGATTAGTATGTCGGTTGGTGGTGGGACACTGGTCAACTTAGCGGTATAATTATAGTCTTTTTAATACCATGCAATTTGCATTGAAGTTCGATTTGATTCAATACATGTAATATCACTTAGTTTCCTTTCTTAAATTGTCAAGTTAATGTACAGCGTGAGTGAAACAAAATGACTACATTGGAAAATAAATATTCTAAAACATATGTAGCTTGCTCCATGCATTTTCATAAAAATAACATATTAAAGAACATATTATTGACTATACTGTGAAATGTTCACGTATGTTGCATATTCTATTCCTAAGTTATGTCTATTTTAATGAACAGAACATAAAATCGAGCTGTCCACTACTGATTGTTTACCGTTCTACGAGCTGATGAAAACCAATAAAAATACAATGAAACATTGACGCTTTCCCACCTCCGTGAACGAAAACCTGCAAAAGAAACCTGACAACGATCGCCATCACTATTTCAGGGGAACAATGAGTTGACTTGTTTCTCATATTCAAAACACAAAACCTGACAGTAAAAATAAGGTTCAGTCTTGCTGACTCATCTGATTAAAATCTCATTTGTTTTTGAATGCAGGTATGGCATTCGAAGGACAGCTGTAAAAATAGGTTCTTTTAGTAAAACATAACTTCTGACAGCGTGGATCAATTTCAGTAATTCATTTTTTTTTCAGATGAGCTGAAGAACAAGCTCTTTTAAGACATTCTTCATTGGTGTATTAAATTGATTGCTTTAAAAAAAACAATAATTAATCAGAGTCACTTTCTTTTTGACTCCCCTGTATTATATGCAAAAGAAAATGATATGCAGATATCCCTCCCCCTCCCCCCCCCCCTTTCTCCCCTGGTATATACTTTCCTGGTCTCTGCAAAAATCAAGAACGTGCCGCTTACTGATAATCTAGAAGTGAAATGATGTCAGATGGCAAAGGATCTCCACATTATAGTCTGTATTTGTTTAGGCTATTTAACCTCAGTAATTACATCGAACACTGGGAATAATACAACTCTCAAAGATGCTAAAGACGGATATCAAATTTAAGCTTGATTGACCCCTTTTCACTTTTTTGTTCAATTTCACGGGGTTAACTGATGACCATCAATGGCTAGTTTGAAGAAAAATGAGATATTCTATACACAAAATATGAAGTAAAATGCTGGTCCAGCTTCATCAAAAATTCTCAGAAATAAAAGTGCAAAGAGTTTGTGTGATTAAAAAACGGGAAATTCCCCACTTTCTACCATATGCAAGTATGCCGCATTGTGTATGCTGCAAACCTGGTCGCGGCCGAGCGAGTTTCAATTGACTGCGATAACAAAATATACAAAATGCAAACAGCAAAGGTGAATTCGCAGAGTATGACCAGCAAAAAGTCAGTTTGGTAAAGCATTATTATATAGCCCTTTGAATTGTGTTTTCATTTTTGCCGATGACGGTTTCGCCATCTTAATGGATATCTGTAGCCTTATACTTTCATTCCACAACATTTCTGAATAAAAATACTTCATCAGTCTTGATCGGGTGTGTCTGAGGAATATTTACAACATGATTATCAACTCAACCTCCGCACATCAGGATATGACGCTTTTTTGGTCTGGAAACTACACCACCGTACTCGATACACAAGACCCGAGTCACTCGCTGCAGACCTACGCAGAAAGGGTCGTGGTGGCTGCGTTTATTCTTTTGATCGCCATCAGCAATATCGTCGGTAACAGCCTGGTGATCCTTGCCGTGGTGTTCAGCAAGAAGCTCCGGACTTCTACCAACGCCTTCGTCGTGAGTCTGAGCGCGGCTGATCTGCTGGCGGGACTAGCGGTTAGCATGACGGTGGTAGCTCTCCTCAACCCCGGCGAGAGCTGGCCATCGGTGCTGTGCTCCATGGCCGGTGTCGTGCTCTACGTCAACTCGACTGCCAGTCTCTTCAACCTGGCCTCCATCGCTCTGAACAGACTGATCCTCATCAAGCGCCCCACTCTCTATCGTAGCCTCTACACTAGACTAACTATTGCTGTCAATATTGCTGTGGTGTGGATTGCCGCTATCGCTGTCATGGTAGTGCCGCCCTTGTTGGGCATCGGAGGCTTCGGTTACGACGAGCAGCATCACGCCTGCAGCGACCTAGACACCCATCCTAAGGCAAAGATCTTCGAGAAGATCCAAACCGTCCTCTCCTTTCCCATACCCTTCATCATCATCGTCAGCAGCTACATCATGATCTACATGCACGTCCGGCGTCACTTTCAGGCCCAGAGAGTCTTGCGAGGTATCAGTGACGAGGCCCCAACCACTAGCTCTGGCAACTTCATCTTCGTGGTGTCTGATAACGCGACCGCCCTGAGGACCTCTCACCAGGACCGCATCAACCGCCAGCAGGTCGAGATCACCAAGAATCTTTTCATAGCCTTCTGCGCCTTCTTCTTCTGCGTCGCTCCGTACAGCATCGCACTCTTCCTGCCCAACAACGATCGTTACCTGCTCTTTTTGGCCGCGGTGTTCTTCTGCAATAGCTGTGTCAACCCATTCATCTACGGAGCCAAACACCCACAGTTCAAGAAGGTGATGCGTTGCATGTTGAGATGTCAGTACTCTCAGATCGAGGAACCATCGGACACCTTAAAGGCACTGATGAATTGTTGCAGAGAGTAACCCGAGTGCACTGTCATTTATGTCGACCAATGCTTAATGTGTCATTTTGACCTTGGCAAAAGAGTTATTTCGACCCAGCTATTGTTATTTTGACCCAGCTAGTGTCATTTGACCCAGCTAGACATTTTGACCCAGCTAGTCTCACTTGACCCAGCTAGTGTCATTTTGAACCAGCTATTGTCATTTTGACCCAGCTAGTGTCATTTTGACCCAGCTAGGCATTTTGACCCAGCTAGTGTGATGTTGACACAACTATTGTCAGTTGACTCAGCTAGTGTCATTTTGACCCAGCTATTGTCATTTTTTGACCCAGAGGAGTGTTACTTTTGATCCTGAAAAGTATCAAACCAAATAGAACCAGATTCCGGATTAAATCAGGCGACCAAAGACTTTTTAGAGTGTAAGATAATACTCCGAATAAATATTGTACTAGGTTTAAACTATGTTAAATACTGTATTTTTCGTTTAACAGAGTTGGAATACCGTGGATTATACAATCGTTGTACAGGAGGATAATATGTGGATAACTCGCATATACTTTCGGAACAATGTTGATATAGACTGGAATCATATTTTGAAGCAAACCCTGTACCAAAACTGAAAACTGAAATTCAAATTTCATAATTTGTAGCACCGACCGGAATGTTCACACGATGTAGTTAGAATGTTGTAGTTTTCTAAGCATAACGTTGATATTCTTGGGAAATATGCATGTAACGGACATATGTTCACTGAGACACTACCCAGAGTTTTTAAGCCTTCCCCATTTTTACTGTTGTTTATTCATTATTTTACCAAAGAAGGTTTTCATGAGAAGTTTGGATGATGATGTGAGATATTGATTATATATAATACCATAAAAAGGTTTAAATACTGCAATTTTCATTTGCTTTATAGTAATACAATTTGGAATATTGTGAAACATGACTCACTCTCTTTCCGGTGTGAATGAAAGTCCAAACGGACCACTTCTCGGCCAACCATTAAGGATGCGGAAATGGTCAGGTATTTGGAGGCGAATTGCACGGCTGTCCTTCAGAATCTAGAAAGAAATCAAAAATCAAGTTTCAGTTTCCATGAAGTGAGAAGCTGTGAAAGTAACATCCTTTTGTCCGGTCGCTCAATTCAATAAAGGGCCCATGCAATGTATTTTTTAATGCTATCCTTGAAAATGCAGATTTGTGTCCCATTTAACCTCATTTTAAATTTTCGTTTCGCCATTTTGAAGTATGTTAATTACCATATTCATGAGCACAACAGTGACGGTGATGGGCGGAAACATCGATGCTACAGCTATGTCAGCACGAAAAGTTGCTAGAATTTTGGAAATGTTCACGTCTTAATTTTATTTTCTTTGGTGAGTCATTGTTGTTTCAAAACATGGCAGAAAGCCAATGAGCAAACCTTTCTCATAAGGGTTTTCAATGAGCAAATTTTGGGTTCACGATTTAAACAGATAATCCCTAAAGTGAACAGTGTCTCCCCGAAATGACATCACATCAACAGCGCCCTCAGTTGTCTGGAAAAGCATGGACAATTTTAAATGTTTAAAGAATTGCACTTTTCAATCGGTAGAAAATCGAAAATCTACAGCCGACTCGTACGTGTACACGTACACCGGTGCAGGTGTGGGCGAGACGATGGAGGCCATAATTATGTTTGTACATGTATGTAGCTGTGAAATCTCAGGATCAAGCTCCAGGCCATGTGGTTTGGTTCATAATGTTGTTTTACATAATTCTAAGTACAATGGGTCCGTTGATCGTGTGGTCAGTCTGCGACCTATGGCTATGGTCCGAGTGTTTGGTTTGTTATGTCTCATTGGACCTCGTCTCTGTTCGTTGAAGTTTGCTTGACAGACTAGGAGTCTTTATGTCGCGGGTTCGTCGTAGGAAAAAAAATAATAAAATGCACCATTTCGAAGGCTAGACAATCGTTTATCAATTCGTATCTGAACTGACCCGGTTATTGCTTGATTTTTTTTCTGTACTTGAATCCAAAGAATATCTTATACACGGTAAAATATCTCAATAAAAATATAGGTCCCCTATATTTGCTTTTAGCCACAAATTTCTTGGGCACGTCAGGTCCAAGAATGATGTAAACCATCCTTGTCTTCTCTTCACTTGTCACGACTATGGTGGAAGAAAAAAAACAAGAGAAGGCAAGCCTTGCAAATTAAGGTTGGCCACAGAGTGCACAGAATTATATTGAATTGATTCAGAATGGCTGTTAGCCTCTAAAAGTCTGTTCATGCACCCGAACCGGGTAAAGTCCATTCATTGCCGTTACGGGGTTATCCTATATGATAACAGTGCCCGGCTCTTTTCACAAATCCACAACCAGTCTAGTAAGTCCGGTTATATGGCCTAGCCCCCTCGGTCTGGGACCAGCAAAACGAAGAAGTTGTGCGCTTTTGAGAGCCCAATTTACCGCCCAACCTCAGTGTCCATGATCTGGATGAACGGTTAAAGCCGCAGGAGATTGAGAAACCAGTCGCCCAATCTAGCGCACACAAATCTATCTCCGTACTTGTTCCGCATGTTGCGGTTACTGCAGACACGTCAGCTCGTATAAAGCCGGCATGATTTAACAGTGTCTCATCATTCAGCACAGACGCTGTGGAGACATCCGATCGCACACAGTGCAAGTGAAGAAGACACAAGTGGCAGTATTTTTCCCCTCAAAAGCTGTGTGTGCTGTGCTGAAAATAAAGTAACAGTTGTTCTCATATACTTGGTAAGTACATTTGAATTTCCATTCAAGATTCAGTAAATATTTTATGTTTCTGCCAGTTTGAAGTCCATCACGAGAGGTCCACCACAAGTCATCCAGTTATGGAGGAAGCCACTACATGTAGTATTCAAATGAACTGTGATAAAACTTAAAAGCAGTCTAACGTTACTTTGTCGATACAATTTTGCTAGAAAGGACTTGTGATTTACTTGTAACCACACTTCAGGCCAAATAAACAAAAACATTTTAAGTGTCCCCGCCCCCTTCCTTTTTGGAGGCCCTCTTCTTTCTTTTCTTTTCTTTTTTACTTCAAAATGATATTTTGAAATCTTGCGATCGAACGTTAGCATGCATAGTCCTACCCTTGAAATTGATACTTTTTGTTTGCACAAATCGCTCATCAGCATTAACAGTGAAGCATCGCCATGAAATGGTACTACTACTAATTTTGTTTAATTGCAAGGTCGTCCTCCAAACTGGCAGTACTTGTTTGTCGCATACCTGCCACAAAATGCCAGTTAGCCTAATTGCCATCACGGTGCAAGTCAATTCCTAATACTACGAGAAACCATAAATATTGAGTTTCTTTTATAATTATGTATATAGATACAAACTGCACACACGTATTTTGTATAGGCGCTTGTGTCATGTATATAACTCAAAGAGACTATAGATCTCGTAAAATTACAGTGAATTTCTTTCTTTTTTTGTGCGACTTCTACCGTTTTGCTCTAACATTGAAAGAAAAAATGGTAAAGAAAGCCGTAAAACCGTAACAAGTATAAGGGAAATAATACATTGTAATTTTACGAGTTTTTCTTTTACATAATACTGCATGTAGAAGACAGAAGGTTTTTTTTAATTAAGTGTAGTCAGATATCCAAATAGGTCGGTCCGATTGATATGTTGTGGTGACTGACGAATAACGACGAGTTTTTTTTTCTCTAGGCCCGCTGCTATGTTTTCCTACGGCTTTTCTGTGTTATAAGTCTGATCACAATTCGTTGCCGTATCACCATGGTTTAATCACGTTACATCTTCCCCATACAACGGAATCGGTTGTCGTAATTTCATGTGAGCAAGAAAACTCTTTAACCGTGACAAAAGTCTCATTCGAAACCTTCACGGATGAACTATATACGACACACAAAGCTATGAATATCTTACCGGTTTGTCACTGAGGGGAAAATCGACATTACAGGTTCCTTGCTCAATTTCAGCAATTAAGTAACCGAGAAAAAAAACGCCGGAGCGAACTCTCGGAAATACCACTATAAATCGACGACGAGCAACGCGAACGAAATGCCGGTCGTCGGACCTCGTTGTCTGGTCGTCATATCGCGACTAGAGGATGTCGTTTGCATTAGCCGAGTACACACCTCAGTAGCCTACGTACTGTGACGCCAATGTTGTATGTTCAGGAATAATTGATTGCGATGCTGCCGACTGTTTCACTGCCTCTGTGAATCGATCTTGACTTCTTATTGAAAAGTTCCCTTAATTTTCACGTGAGCAGTTTTGCCCTTTTGAAAAGTACAGAAATTAATTTGTAATGATCTTTCGTATCATGATTTCGATCGTCGCGATGTTGTGCTAAAAGTGCGAATAATGATTCATCACAGAAGTGAAATTCGATGCAAAGAGCAACTGCGCTGCGATCAAGTTAAAGGGAATATACATCATTTGCTTTTGCTGTAATTTTCAGAAATGGATGGAATTGGGGGGTTGGAAATATATAGCAAATATAGTTACACTGACTTTTTTGAGGTTTTGGGTTCGAAAATGCTATAAAAACCAAGAAAAACGATCATTTTCCTGTAGTCTGGTTCCCTGACTCCATATAAGAAGAAACAGAGCAGTTTACATACATTGGGGAATTGTAAGGTCAGGGAACCAGTCTAGCTGGCTCGTACCCGTTTATAGGTTTGTAATCGATTGCAAACAAGTGCGATGGTCAATTGGGGCCAGTATTTGAAAAAAAGCCAGTTTTTTTCCAACGCTGATCGGCCGATCAGCGTTGGAAATTGATACAAAAATACCACTTTTCTTGAAAATGACAGTAAACCAGGTGCCATGATTTTACAGGATGCTTTACACTGTCATTCACTAACAGTCCAGCAAGGTATTTCAAAATGATTTGGTAGTTGTATTTTTTGATGTTTGCAAATGTTGTATTTTCCCTTTAAAATATGGTTGACGATAACTCGACTACACCGAAATAGAATTCACGCTAGCCAGCGGTTGATGGACTTAAAAAAATCATAAGAATGCCTACTGCATCAAAGTGTATACGGATGTTCACGCTTTAATATTAGCACGCAGGCGCAACACACGTCAAGAATCAGCTACCAGTTTAATACCAATATCTTTGATCGGACGTACCAAAAACCGCGCCATTTAAGCATCGCCGCTGCTCCACTTTTATTAACAACAATTTGATATCTAACCAAACTGCTCAGCCGCCCCACTTTAAATTGGCTTCTGACGCCTCTGCAAGTTGTTTTTAATTAAATGTTTGTGGAGGAATGTTATCGTTGTGCGGCGAACGCCTTTTGACTGCTTTCAAACGCGTAAACCGCCAAACAAATCAGGTTAGGTTACGTTTGTCTTGTCTCAATCCCCCTGTAAACAAGGAAAGCGGGGCAAGACAAGAGATAGGAAAGTGTTATCAAAACTTAATACATTTACTAAAAATACTGACCGCGTATGGTAATGTAACGTACAATCTGTGTGCGGTACTGCCGTGGTGTTAAAATCAAGATGAAAATTGAATAATTTAATGGATTTTTGTTAAGTTTATTTGGACGTTGAGAACATATCAATTTCCTAAACTCATTTTGACAATGGTTTTACAGGAGAAAAAGTTTAACCACAGCTGTGGTTAAATCACATATTCAGTGCACATAGTGGTTTAAGCAGTTAATTTCGGCCATTATGGTGTCTGCATGAGTAAAGTAGAAGAGTTTGTAGTTTTGAGGAAAATGGGGACATTAGTTTATACTCTTTCAGATGAGAGGCAACATTGGGGAGTACATGATGTCATATAAAGATAACATAGTAAATATGATATTAGGTCCTCTCAAATGTGGGCTGACGTAATGGTCAGTCTGAGGAGGGAGTACCCTTATGAGGTCATTTGAGTGACATCACAATCTTGGTACGCTATTGGGGGGGGGGTGGGTTTACTCGAGTGACGTGCAAGACCTTGGCCATGGTTAGAGTAGGGTGTGCATGGCTAGAATTTGGTCTTACACAACATGAAATGCCAGTACATTTCTTATGCACCCACTTTTTCCCTTTCCTCAACCTTTCCATTTTACAGGTTCGTAGATATCCCAACGGCCAAGATCGAAATGGGCACCAGCGATGCAACGATGGTTTTCTCAAACGATACCGAAACAGCCGTGTCCGTCGAGAGTTATTCTGCGACCGATTTCTCCATCAACACAACAACTATTTCCGGAGTGGAGAACAATACGATCATGGGTGTGAGCACCGCTGGCCCTGTGAGTAAGTCTCTGCAGACCTATGAGGAGAGAGTAGTTGTTGCCGTGTGTTGGCTCCTGATTGCCCTGATCAACATCATCGGTAATACTTTGGTCATCCTTGCCGTAGTGTTCAGCAAGAAGCTCCGGACTTCTACTAATGTTTTCGTGATCAGTCTCAGCGTGGCCGACCTGCTAACCGGCCTGGCGATACCCATGAGCGCCGTCGGCTTACTCAGTCCAGGAAACACTTGGCCCTTGTCTACCGAGGCTCCTTGCTACCTAGCCGGCATGCTGCTCTTCGTCAGCTCCTCGGCTAGTCTCTTCAACCTGGCCTCCATCGCTCTGAATAGGCTGATCCTCATCAAGCGCCCCATGACGCTGTATCGTAGCCTCTACACCAGGCGCAATCTTGCCATCAACGTGGCCGTCCTGTGGTTGGTTGCCATTGCGACCATGGTCATCCCACCTCTGTTTGGTGTCGGCGGGTTCGGATACGACGAGGCGCATCACACCTGCAGCGACCTGGACACTCATCCCAGAGCCAAGACCTTCGAGAGGATCCAGACCTTTCTCTCCTACCCCATCCCCTTCATCATCATCGTCAGCAGCTACATTATGATCTTCCTGCACGTCCGGCGTCACTTTCAGACCCAGAGATCCATGCGAAGTGCCATCAGCGACACCACCAACGCCAGCTCAAGCAATGGCAGCTCCAGCTTTGTGGTGTCTGACAACGCCACCGTCTTGAAGACAGCTCAACATAACCGCATCTACCGCCAGCAGCTCGAGATCACCAAGAATCTCTTCATGGCCGTCTGCGCTTTCTTCGTCTGCATCACTCCGTATTGCGTGGCACTCTTCATCCCCAACACCGACCGCTACCTGCTGTTCCTGGGCGTGGTCTTCACCTGCAACAGCTGCGTCAACCCGATCATATACGCGTCCAAGCACCCTCAGTTCAAGAAGGTGATGCGCCGTATGCTGCAGTGCAGGTATTCTCAAATCGAAGAGCCGTCTGACGCACTGAAGGCGCTGATGGCTTGCCGTAAAACGGTCTAAATGGAGTACACTTTGATTGAATTGGGGAAAAGTGTGACCTCGTTGATTGGCTTTGTCACTCAGAGGGTCAGGGGTTCGAATCCTCCTGTCGCTGGTAATAATGGTGTGTGTCCTTGCGGGCAAGGCACTTTACTCCCACTTGCCTCCCTCGACCCAGGGGTATAAATGGTTACATGTATTAGCAGCGGAGTAACCTGCAATGGACTGGCATCTCATCCAGGGGGGTTAGAAATGTTTTGTTTTATGCGCCACGTTGGCTAGTCTTATACTTTAATAACTTTTTACTCAATACTTTGATTGAGGTGCCGATCAACGGGAATAGTGATATCAAGTATTGACTGAATTGCTATTCCTGAAGAGGATCAGGAATGTTGATATCAATTATTTGTTTCATATTAGAATGTAGTTGCAAGAAGTCGTCTGTAAAACCACAATAAGGTATACACGTATAGTCAGGTATGATACCCTTATTGTGTTTCCTCTCAAAATGACTCTGTTACCGGTCAACCCAGCCATCCAAACTGAACAAAATTGTCCAAATTAATGTAACATACATTTTTTACCGTAATGCACCTGTGATCACTTCATGTAATCCTATACCCGATAGGTCTGTTTAATCAGCTCTTTCGTGTTTATTGACAACAAAGGCATTTTGGATGCGATTGGAGACACTGTATATATCGTTGAAGTATGTTTGCAGATGTACCGTGTCACAGTGACTTTTGATGTAAGAGAGATGGTTCGTGAGAACAGTGTGATATTATAATTGGACAGGAGACATTTAGGGACACATTTTTTTGCAGCAAAATATAGCAAGCTCATATTTTATTATTGAGTATGTGTTTACGTTTCTAGACTTGCCCGATGACATAAGTACGTTGTGTTCGGTTACCTATACGTTTGCACAGCACTGATAAAATATGAGGGAGGGGGGCAAATAGAGCTGGCGTCAGATCCCCAATAATAATATTCAGTTGATTCAGGCTATTCACCTGAAGCTTCTCTTAATACATCTGCTGATGTACACAATGGGCTGGATTTAGCCCGTTCATTGGCGTTACGGGGTAGTCCTGTACGACAGCACTGCCTGGGTCACAAGTGACAGTGAGTCAGTGATGAGTGAGGTACAAAGAGGACAATAGGCTGGTCCTCTCTGAAATCAACAAAAAGTCTTGAAAGTGAGAGATAGCGTTAGGAGTGCTGTGGTCTCCTGGCAGTGTTGTATAGTCGAGGCTGTCACAAGTCTGGTCGCAAGTCATTTCATCAGTCCAATCACAAATCTGCTCTGCTTCTGCTGTTTTTTGGCTTGGCTTCTTTTTTTTTCAGCATAAAACTATATGAACAACGAAGGCCTGTTTTCCCCCCACAATTTCATTGGGTTAGCTTGTGACTTGACTTGAGAGTGGAGGACTTGTGATGGACTCGACTACAACACTGCCTCCTGGTCCGGTGCATCGAACTTACGATCTTATAGGTAGTCCCGCAGATTTCAGGTTTTAGTCCAACTTTTGTTTTGTATGAGACACTTCGTCTTTCAACTTTTGCTTCTCCTCATCCAGGGGTAAAAGTACTTGTCAGGGAAGGGACGATTATTGTGTTTGAATTAGCCGCTTGCGTGAAGTGCGTGCAGCGTTGAGCGCCAATATTTGAGTAGCGTCAATATTTGCGGAAGCATAGTCTGTGTACTAATATTGTAATATTACGAAAGATATAATACATTTGTAGTAAAAAGCCGTATCCTCTTTGAGTGATCGCCAGTTGCTATTTTCCAGGTTCACAGCATTGTTAATGTTGCTAGAATTATGACTTTGGACGTGATACCTGGCTACATGGCATATATGGGTTTATGGCTTCTGACTAGTGCCTTTTGAACAAAGACAGTGATTAAATGGGGAACCGCCAACATAGGGCTGGATAGCTCAGTTGGTAGAGCACCGCAACGGCACGTTCAAACCCCGTTCCAGTCAATTTACTTGTTCAACTTTGACAAAATAACAATCTACAGATGAGTGAGTATAAAGTAAAAAAAATACTAAGTCGTGTGAAACTGTTCACGAAAGTTCACAACTACCTACCCTTGTAATGTACTGTTCTACACTAAGTTCATCAGTTATTGCATGATGAATACTGCAGCAGGTGTTAATCATTGGTTTCGATTTTGATTTCGATTTCGTATTGAAGCAGTTGTCCCCGACTTTCTGACGAACAACGGCAAGGTCCAGGGTTGAAAGTTCTAATCGATATTTAAAACAAACTGAAGACGAGCTATAACAGCTCATCTCGTGTTGAAAAGACATGAGACATTGTTATGTTAATCATGTAAATTATTACCGGTATGTAATGACTCATTTTGTGACGGTACACTTCATATCATACAAAATCGTATACTTATCAGTGAATTAGTTCGAAACTCATCCATTTAAAGGTTTAAAGAACATATCACTGCTTCGTTATCTGCATATCGTTCCTCAATTATTAATCGGATAATTATTTAATTGACAGATATTTTTTGACATCGCATGGATGCGGAGGTTGTGGTTTGGGGAAGAGGTATGGGATATCAATGTGAGTGTATATCCATACATTATTGGTTAATAATTACACAGTTTATGTAAAAAAAAATGCTGTATGCCATTCACTGATGTACAATGTATAACACTCATTTTTTTAAGAGACAATTACATTTTCTGTTGAAAAGTAGCTCTTACGAAATTCATCTGTGTTTTGTTCTGTTCTCAAGAGCGTGTAGTTATAGGCCTACTTCACTTTTTCTGCAGTGATGAAATCAGAAATCCCCCAAAGTTAAAATCGTTGGTCTTAGTTGGGCACTTCTATAGCATTTCCAGGGGTGTGAGTGACCACTGATAAAAATAGCTGAAATCAGCTGGAAAAGGTGTAAAACAGCTGAACTTTGGAAATCTCCTATACTTTTGTACACAGCAAGTGAGGGAAAAAAGCTGAAATCCAAAACAAAAAAAGCTGAAATCAGCTTTAAAGCTGAGATTTCACACCCCTGATTTCCTGACCGCAAGTGTGAACTTTCAAAGGTTCTGTGTTGATATTAACGAGACGCTGAATTGCTACGTGGGTGGAAAACGAATGTGGGATTTTCCCCTCGATTTGGGGACCCATGAGGCCTTGACCAGAACACATCCGGCAAAATGTTACAAATACATAATAATGGTCTGTGTAGGAAGTACGGCTCAGATGGAAGATATATTTCCGTTTATGAGGCGTTCAACGGCTTTTTAGTGGTCAACATACGTGCAATGCGGCACAATGGATAAAGATACCATGATTGGGCTACAAAAAACGCCTACCGATGCTGTCTAAAACGAAGCATATGACGTGTAAGGGAACAAATCATAGCGTGTTTTACGCACCCTCTTAACGAGTGAATTATTCGAATGAAAATTCACTCCATCTGAAACTAGTCACTAGACGATTACAGTGAATTTGTGCAATCGAAGAGATCGCCTTTTCACTCAAGTGTAGCTTCCACTCAACCGAGTCTTAATACAGAGTTATTTTCATTTAAAATCAACTGGTCCCTATGGTCCCTGGTTCGTTAATGTGACGTCACTTCTTCAGTTTAAACCACGTCCACTGCCCATTAAATACCGGTAGCATTGGAACGAAGTTAGCACAACTTACGTTTTCATCCAAAGGGCGCTAGAATTCAGTGGTGCGCGCGCGAGTATGACTTTTTACTAACGAACCGTATTAGTTTCACAAAGAAAGCAAATTACATTACATCTCTCAACTCAACCGAGTGTGACATAGAAAAGTCTACAAAAAAGTTTATCACCGTTTGCAACTTTGACCCTTGAAACATTAGTAACGATATAGTGGCTGAATGACCCTGATGTAGACTATATCACAACTAAACCACCAGGTATCTTCCTCGAAAACTCTGGGTCTATATGAATCAACATAACGCAACAAACTATCGGTCGGGAAGTTTTGCTTCTTTTCAAAGGAAATAGAAAGTGTAAGTATTTATCCTGATGATGTGGCAAACATATGTCATATTGGCACAGATAGTCAGAAAATCACTGAAGTCCAAACAAATTTAAATGAATGGGTAAAACATTGCGAGATGATTTCAGGCATAATAATATGCCACTTTTGACAATAAGAAATGTCTACTAATTATCTTTGGTCCGTCTGAACAGGCTATAACTTTTTTTCTATATTATATCTCTTTATATATTTGTCGTTTCAGGTTTTGTGTTTAAGTAATGTCAAGGCAAACTAATCTTTTCAAATATTTTGAAAAGACGTAAAGAAGGAAGATGAATTGTAAGAAGCCGTATTTTCTTTGTTATAGACTAGCTAAACTAAGTAGCATCCTTGCTCTTTGATGCAAGAAGGCACCCTACTGAAGCACCCGGCGTAAAACGAAGTGCACAATGGCCCTATTGATTGATATGTACACACGCAGACATAATTGCATGGCAGGACTACGGTACAAACATGCAGGCAAAAAGGATAGTATTTCCGTAAAACTGAATGGCTATACTCGATTGGAATGTCAGATAAAGGAATAATTCTCAAAACCAGGCCAGAACAAACAACCTAGCTCAATTTAAACCTTCGCATTTCGTTTTCAAAACAACAGCAACTAGAGAGGTAAATCTTCAATGTATCACGCACGTTTGAGTATCAGCTTTCATCTTAGATGGCTGTAATACCACTTAAGTCGGTCATGTGAGCGCCAGTAATGGACTCCAATCTCTTCCTCAAAATGAAGGAGAAAAGACAAGGCCAGTTCTTATATGCCTACTTAATTCGACTTAAACGCAGATACGGAGGATTACACAGAAATTGAAGAATCCATTGACGCGCGAGGTTCTTCAAGGGCAGATGGAGGGGGTATGAGAGGGGCGGGAGTGGAGGTGGTGGAGGTTTAACCATACCCTTACGTCGGACCATGGTCGGACTATTTAAAGTTATTACTGGACAATCTAAATTTCCTTTCCGCAAATATACGTTCGTGGCTTGAATCTTTAATCTTTACTGAAAGAATACTCCTTTAGACTATACAAGTATCCATGTACATGTACAGGGTCAGTAAAAAAACAAACACCCGAAACCCAAATGTCGGGTCTATTGTTTTATTTGAAGTTCTGCATGTAGCACTTTCAAAATCTAGAAACATGAAAACCCAATTCATAAACTTTCTTTTAGTACAAGAATCATTCAAATGAATCACTC